GTTCTCATTAGGGTTTATGGTAGATATGTCTATAGTTAATGGGGTGCTTTTCAACCCACTCATAACTGGAGGCCACGGTGATAGACTGTGACATGTTCCAACATATTTACATGTTGGTGTGTTTTTTTTACCATCTGGTTATTCAACATAGCCATGGAAAATCACCATTTTTTATAGGTAAACCATTTATAGATGGGCCATCTATACCATGGCTATAACCAAAGGGATTTCTTCTATCTGATAAATGGTCGACCCTCTGGGCCAAGCCGCCGGGTACGGGGTCAACAAGTCATCCCAACCACCTGGAGCTGGAAGCCCCAGAAATGGTGTGCACACTGGGGGGCATAGGCCTACGAAATCGCGATTGGTTGAAGCGCTATGATGCTTGTAACATCTTGTAACTATAGTATTCGTGGGGTTTATAAACCAACAAACATCACGGGAGTGTGTAGTAGCAACATAATCTAGACAAAACTCCCAAAAGTAATGGGTGGGTGATCCCCTTGTTACTGTTACTATGGTATGGCCAAACGTCACAACACTGGATCTCCGCAAACCGTTCTGGATCTCCCGCTCATATGTTTCACCGTTGGATCCCCAGCTTTACCCAAAGTATCAAACCCGTGTAGCCTGACTTGATCTTGTCCATTCTGGTTACCCCATGTTTGTTAAATGGTTGTCTATGTCACCCACATCAAGCTTGCTTACATCACCAATTGTTTGTCTGAAAAAAATGGGTATGTCATTTGTCTGTGGCTTACCGCAATTTGCCCCGCAAAATAGCTTGATGGTTTGTTGAGTTCAACTTTTAGTGCTTCATGTGGTACATCCATCATCATCTATCTAAGTCCAAAAACACTAAAAGCAGAACAAGTGTATGGCTGGGAAAATCACTTTCACTTTCACTGGCGGCTCTCTGAAGTGGCTGGGAAAATCACCGAACTAAATGATGCATTTTCGAGCGAGCCATGGAATTCTCCATGACAACCCTATATATCATCTACTATATCCCAGTAACCTCCATTTATTCCATTAATATCCCATTAAATCACAATAAAATCCCGTCAAGTCCTATTCATGTGCTCTATATGTAAACCCACAGGTATCCAGATGATATAACATAATATATATATATATAAAAACATATAAAACCCAAGAATATGAAGATGGGGCGTCCCATGGTGTGTCACAGCCCAAACATCGGCCACAGCTGAGCCCTGCCTTCCTCAAATTCGGCATCGGAGCCCTGCTGACTTTCCAAGGGCGCCATTGCGGCGCGCGGCGAATCGTCACCGGGCCGATGGTGAAATCCCTAAGTTTTTTAGTATGGTTTCTAAAACTTTAAACATCTTATAACTGAATATAACTATACATATATATATATATATATATTAGCCATAGGGTTTATAAACCAACATCACTGGAAATTAGTATTTACGGGATTTATAAACCAACAAACATCACTGGGGGGCTACACTGTAGGGCTATGTTGAGTGGCAATTTTCGGGGAACATTCTGGGAACAACTTCAATGACTGTTCTTTTTGTGTATAGAGTTGAGTTGGGTGATATTTTGAGTTGGGTGATGTGTCAGAGAAATGCTGGAGGCTCAAAAAACAAACTAGCACTGACCCAAGGAAACTTACCAAGAGAAAATATTCGAATAGTGCGATTTGGGTTGATGCCCAATTGCTGCTGACTTCACTCATCGAAAGGAAACCGCAGATGCACTGAGACCTTGAAACCCATGTGCAGTTGACTACACTCTGACACTCGAAGTCATGCGATCTTGGGGGGGCATTTATCCTGGGAAACTCACGGAAAGTAATGATCGTATTATCACTTTTTGCAGTATTTCACAAAAGCAGGGTGTGTCGAACTCTTAAAAGTTCTTAAAGTTAACCTACAAGACGAGAGGCTCGACCCAGAATCGTGAGGTTCTGCCTTGCTCGACAAACAAATCCAAAAAAACAGCAGTGACTTTGCCCAAAAATAACAATTAATCTATACTTTTGTTTTTTGCACTATTATATATATATATATATATTATTATATGTGCTAAGTCAAGGTAGGCCCTGGAGGGGCCGCATACCATGTATATATATGTATATCCCACATCCTTCATGTATATTGTATATCCACGTATGTGGATCATGTTTAAAGGGTAAATGATGATAGCTGTTCCATAACATTCCATACATAGGGCACATAGGGCATTTGGGTATATAAAGACCATCATAAACCATAAGTATCATAGATAAGTATATTAAATATTCCAAAAAAAACTTCCATACAGTAGTTTCAGTAGTTTTTTTAGCATCATAGTTGCCATATTTTCTTCGAGTTCCCCAAACCACTGGCGACGATTCGCGACTGTAAAGGCTGTCCTTCAAGTAACTGGACCGCGAACGGCTCAGATCCTGTAGCACCTGTGGAGGGCGATCAGATTGATTAGATACTAACAACATCAATCCCAATATGAAATAGATTGAAATAGTTTACAATAAATAGGAATACCACTATTGGATAGTATTGGATAGTATGGGTATGTATTAGTCATATTAATATACTATTCAGATGTGTGTGTGTGTGTTTCCCTGTGAGATTCTGCCACTGATTATTTGACGCTCAACTGTAGATTGATTTCTCAGGCAGATGCTATGCTTCAAGGGCGCAATGTAGCTGGATGTGGCTGGTTGGGCCAAGATAACTCCCCTCATTTGTAGCAACAATGAGCTGTAATGTGGTAAACCCAATGTCTTAAACCATCCCCAAAAACAATCGTGGAACAGTTATAAACTCACCAACTTAACTATCATAAATCAACTCTAAATACCTATAAATCCCGTGAAATCTCCGTTTTTTGATCACTTGGATCAGCATGTTCCCTATGGTTTCGCTCTGTTTCGCGATCACCGGGCCCCCATTTTTTCCGCCTTTGCCAACTTCACACGTAGCTCTTCCAGTTGCATCTTCATCCGTGCCTGGAAAAGAAGAAGATATGGGAAACATATGCAAAATATTTTGAAATATAAAGGATATCCACATAATATGTCAATCCTTTTTTATGTTACATTATATATATCCACATGTTACATATATGTTGAAATAATATAATGATATGTTATGTTGCATATAATAATAAGATATGCAACCACATGTCGGAAAACCCAATAATAATCCACTGAGTAGTGGTTCATTATTGGGTTGTATACCCAACAAGAATGGATATGAAGAAGGGATCATCACGGAGATTCAAGCATTTATCAAATCATTTATCACTCATTTCCTGGGGGGTCCAAACATGAGTTTCCCATGTCTATGTTGGTTTATCTCAGGTTAGACTTGGATATGGGGGTATCTGAACATATATTACCATCAAATCCCAATATTTTTTCAAGTTTCTTCTTCATCCATTTCCCGATCAAAATTGCCGTTTTGATGAATATTCCCAATATGTTCCTAATATTTTTGTTTTTCCCCAATGTTATTACCAATATTTTGGTCAAACTCAACATGCAAACCACCAACCATCGCGACTAATTCTCCAACCTTGGGCATGTGGCTGGTGTCTAGCTCCCAAGCCTCAGCGGACTGCTGGAATGACCCCAAAATAAACACTTACTGGACTGTTGTCTTGAGCAGGTAGCCTCTGGTTATTTAACGTAGCTATGGGAAATCCCATGTTTTGATAGGTAAATCATCATAGATCATCTATTTCTATGGCCCATTTTCCATAGCTATGTCAAATAACCAGAGGGTATATCAATTTCGCAATCCCTATTTAGTCATCCCATATGTACTCATGGTCATCCTCTAAGTAGTCAACCCTTCCTGATCCCGAAAAACTGGATTACGGTAACCACTGGGAGAATGCCATAAGACCGACTCGGCAAAACCAGGTCACCTCTCATTCACCGGCCGGCCACGCAAGCCATCGAAACTCGAAAAATATGAGTTCGTCAATGGGAAGGATTATCCCATATATTATCGAAAATAATCCAAACGTTCCAAACAACCAACCAGATAAGTTGCGGTTACATCTCCTATGTTCAGACGCACAAATACACCATAATACACCCTATATCAAGTTGCTGGAGGAATATCACACTCATGTCCCCATGATATTCCCCATTATCGCCAATTCTATTACTATCCCGGGTCCATGATTTCTATCCCCAATACCTCCATACAATATGTAATCGTCATTAGATCCCCATATATCCACAATATGCTTTGTAAATCATTGATTATATCCCCATTATGTTTGAGTGTATATATATAAATATATACATATATTTATATATTCCAACATTAATCATTGTATATATGTTGTATATATATTCCTTTTCTCCTTGGACCCCAGCCGAACAATAAGAACATTTTTTGATGACCGCAGCCACAAGGACAGCCAGGTGGCAATACTCAAGCTGCTCCACACCAGGCCAGCCAAGACTGCGAGAACCTGGGTAAAAAATCCCCAACAAAAAACCATTGGAAAAGAGTAATAATAATAATAAAAATAATAATAATATATATATATATATTGTTGTGATTATTAGTATTTGGATTATAATGATTTATAGATTGTGATATCCAAAATGGATTATGATATCATTTTGGCTGATTAAATGAGCAGTGTTCAGAATCCCTCTATCATTCCATTGAATCCTGGCTGGTTTATCGTGATTCCCCGTTCTTGGCGTATTATCATTGTGATCCCCAATATATTGGGTTGTATAACCACCTATAATCATCAACCAACAGGGGTTTCCATAAATGGGGGATCCCAAAATGGTTGGTTTATAATGGAAATCCTTTTCAAATGCATGATTAGGGGGTCACCCCATTTCAGGAAAGCCCCCCATAGGAATGTGGGGGTTCATGGGACTTTTTGTTGCTCATTTATATTAGCTAAATTGACGAACATGACTTGATACTTGGTTAACTAGGGCTGATAGGGGATGTAACCATATGTGTATATATATATATGTATATATATATATATGTAAAAATATATATATATATATAGTGAATGGGGGTTATGTCCAACGTCCTTTTGATCACAGTTTTTTAAAAGTGCCAGCGGAGAAAGTTCATAGCTGCCAAGGTATGTTCATTTTTTCAAGGGCCCATGGATAAAACTCATAGGTACGAAGGTAAGTTGATTTTCAATTCTTGAACCGTGTGTATCCGGGAAGCCAAATTGATACATTGGCAAAACTCATCCAACCAAATTGCGCTGGATTCTTTTCAGCGTCGACCCCTGGAATCTAATCCAGAAGGGGATTCAATATCAATACACCCCATCAAGTGACGGTTTGAAATATTGAAAGAACCTATCCCAAGCTCCATTTATGGAATATTTACAAGACAGGTGCATACTTATTGCATATGGCGGGGGTCACACTAAGATGGCACACCCCGCCTTCAACAGATGCGATGGATAGCTACACTAATCTTGGATATTTTTGGTGTCTTTACTCACGAGGATGGCACACAGAAATGGGGGGGGCTTCCTGTCATCATAGCGTCGACACAGAAATGGGGAATTTGCGCCATCTGACTTGGGCTCTCTAGGTCCGGCAAATAACCCATACGTGGTGCCTGTAGGGGTTTCCATAAATGGGGATACCCAAAATGGATGATTTATAATGGCAAATCCTATTAAAATGGATGATTTGGGGGTACCCCCATTTCAGGAAACCTCCATATGGGTATCAGTACATCTATGACTCAGTCTATGAATGTCTGGCGTTGAAATTCGCACATCCCCAGACCTAACTTGAATATACTCCACCATACTGGGGGACTGGGGGTTGATGATTTTGAACCATTGCCTCATTTTGAGGCTTGGTGATTTGTAAGCTGTTGAGATCTTCCATATGATTGCCACGGCATGACCTGGTTGGTGGTTGCTGCTGACCCCCCTGAAAAATGATGGACAACTCGTCAGTTGGGATGATGACATTCTCAATATGATGGGAAAATCATAATCCATTCATGGTTCCAAACCACCAACCAGTGACATGATGCCAGCATGAAGCGTGTCTGATGTTCAGCACTGGCTGGAAACCTGTGCGGTTCATGCCGGTCTCGGAAACGTCTGTGCCAAGCTTCCCGCAACAGGAAGATCGTCTGCTGTCCATAGCAGGTGCACATCACGAAGTTCTCGATCTTCTATCTTCCATGAAAGTGTTTTTTTGTATTCAACTATTAGGTCGTGAGGAAGCTCAATTCGTTGCTCCAATTGGGGAGTCAATTTCATATGGAATATGGATACCCCGAAACGCTCAAGGGTCACCGCTCCCTAATTCACCACTGTTTGTAGAGTATTGATGTTTTCTGCGCGTTTTTTCCTTTGTCCTATTATATAAACCCCACCCCAAATCATATGCTAATCATCGGTAGAGATCAATCACCGGCAATCAAACGTGGCAATGAAAAATTCCCCAAAAAAATAGTTGATATAAATACTGATTTTCCCAGCTTTCAATCTCCATACCCTCTGGTAAACTAACAGTTTGCTATTGAAAATGGTCATAGAAATAATGAATTTTCCCATTCAAAATGGTGATTTTCCATAGTTATGTAACAGTTTACCAGAGGGTATGGTTCCTTTTCTCATTAATCCATATGTTGTTCGAGGATGAGGATCAACCGCCAGGGCCACCCAGCCGGTGCTGGGTTCTTGCAGAGGATCAGTTCATGCACCGCCTGGACCAGAAATCGCGAGATTTTGGTTGGTATTTTAACACAACTGGAACTGCACTTCCAGTTGTGACCAACAAATAAATTGTGGTTTTTCTCACCAATTGATGCTCGCGAAGTTGGTGAAGATCATTCCAATTTCACTATGGTTTCTGATTTTGTTTACACCTCAGGACAATCATACTCATGGGGTTTATGATCCAAGCATCACTGAGGGGCACATATACTTGGTGGTTTGTTGATCCGCTAAAGTTTAAGTCTTAGTCGGATATGTGCCAGCGTATGGCTACGATCGATCCTGTCTGACAACTTTGCACATCCCCACTTTGTAATTGCCACATCCATGAGTCGTATATTTTGTATAGCAAATGGGTATCGACTACCTGACAATTTTGAAGAACAGTGGCCTCAGCAACGCAGGGAGGCAGTTGGAGGAGGGTCTGTTCTCTTTGGTCTCTTGAATGTTATGCTAACATGATATATTACATATATGATCATGTTTTGCTGATATGGTATATTACATATATGATCATATTATAATAACATGATATATTACATATATGATCATGTTATTCTGGCATGATATATTACATATATGATCATATTATGTTAACATGATGTACTACACATATGGTCATATTATGCTGACATGATATATAGGAATATATGGTCATATTATGCTAACATGATGTATTACACATGTGGTCTTATTATGCTGACATGATATATTGGAATATATGATCATATTATGTTAACATGATATATTACATATATGGTCATATTACGCTGACATGATATATTGAATATATTATCATGTTCTGCTGATATGATGCATTACAAATATGATTATATTATGTTGACGTGAAATATTACATATACAATCATATTATGCTGACATGATATATTACATATATGACCATATTATGTTGGTATGATATATTACATATATGACCATGTTTTGTTAACATGATTTATTACATATATGATCATATTATGATCATAATATGCTGGCATGATATATTACATATATGATCAAATTTTGCTGGCATGATAATACTACATATGTGATCATACTATGCTGACATGACAATATTACACATATGATAATATTATGCTAACGCGATGTATTACATATATGATCATATTATGCTGACATGATATATTACATATATGATCATATCATGCTAATATGATATATTACATATATGATCAAATTTTGCTGGCATGATAATACTACATATGTGATCATACTATGCTGACATGACAATATTACACATATGATAATATTATGCTAACGCGATGTATTACATATATGATCATATTATGCTGACATGATATATTACATATATGATCATATCATGCTAATATGATATATTACATATATGATCATATATGTAGTTTCCAAGGAGATGTCCAAAATCTCATGAGTACCAGAATTGAACTGTTCATCAAAGCCATGCTCCCAGGTGGGGCCATTTTCCGTGGGATCACAGGCAGTGAGTAGCATCCGAGTAGAACCTCAATTCTGACCCATGCATCATGCATAAGATCTATAACATTCTATAACTACGATATTCAGTGAAAACAAACAGCTATGTGTATGTAGATATATATATATATGATTACATCTCTAGAATCTACTACATCTCCCACAGTCATTCTGAAACTTAGTAATATGGATCTATATGATCTATATGTCTATATACAAAATTTGACATGACATAAGCTAACTTGAACCCAACCTCTTCACATGTTTCACCCAAGCACCTTGCAGTGGCGATCAAGAAGTACCGAGAACCTGCAGTGTGGGGTGAAACCAATGGGCCTGCTACCATGGTGATAGCCTTAAGTTAGGAGATAACCCCTACATGTATAGAGAGAAATACTCACTTAGAACTGAAAGTGAACCACCCCCATTATGGTCGGATGGGTCCTATAATACTCTCACCTAATCATGGTATTAACTTGGCTTCTCAGCCAAAAAAACAAGATCATCATTTCTGTGTTATTGCACCCCACAATAATCTTCACTATCCACAGTAAGTGGGTGGAGGAGGGTTCTGAATTCCGAATCCCACCGACCTCATCAAACATTCCCACTTATGGCAATAATAAGTTTGTGTTTGATGTTTAAAACATTCCAACAAACAACAATTTGACGCATTTGGGTATGCTTTTGTTCCCAACGATCAAAAACACTTCAATATACAAAATTGTTTATAAATCTATCCACTCAAGAAATGTTCATGATTTGCAATTTGCATGCGAGCAGTGTTGAGAACGGGATCTTCCCTAGCGGATTGGTTGAGAACACAATTCCCCAGTCAATCATTGTGATATTCCCCAAGAACAATTGTTTAACATAATCCCCCCAAAATCATGTAGGATATCGATTTCATTCATGAAAATTCACCATCAACTATACCCCAACATACCCCAACAATATATCTCCATCCTTAGGATATCCATTGGATATCTTGGTCCATAGCCCATACGGCGACGCCTGGGCTCGCCCTCCAGCAACTTCCGCAGCTCCACCAACTCCCGGGCCCGCAACTGGTTTTCGGTTTTTCTTCGGTGAAACAATGGGAATATGAGGGGAAAATAATGGAAATATGATGGGAATATGATGGGAATATGATGGGAAAATCATGGGAATATGATGGGAATATCATGGGAAAATCATGGGAATGTGATGGGAATATGAGGGGAAAATAATGGAAATATGATGGGAATATGATGGGAATATGATGGGAAAATCATGGGAATATGATGGGAATATCATGGGAATATGATGGGAATATCATGGTGGTATCATGGGGGTATGATGGGAATATGATGGGAAAATCATGGGAATATGATGGGAAAATCATGGGAATATGATGGGAATATCATGGGGATATGATGGGAAAAGCATGGGGATATGATGGGAATATGGTGGGAATATCTGTTGGGAATTAAATAAATATATATATATATATATAATCATTGGAAAACCCAGATATTACATATAACCCTGGGATCATCAATACATTTGGTTCGCTGGGACTCAACGGCTCGTCAAGAGGTTATGTCATAGGAATGTTATCATTACATTATCAACATCAGCATCAGCATCATCATCAGCATCATCATCATGAATGATGACCATCATCATCATCATCATCATCATCCTCATCATCATCATCATCACCGTCATCACCCTCATCGTCATCATCATCGTCATCGTCATCCTCTTCCTCCTCCTCCTCCTCCTCATCATCATCATTATTGACATAATTTGACGATGGCCCTACCATTTTTTGGACGATCGTTGTGTTGTTATGGAAGACTCTACAAGATGGTCTTCATTACCTTGACTTACCTTGACGTAATTGATCCAACACCATCCAAAAATTGGTGAGTTCTTCAGGGATTATCTAACCAATATTGTTCTTTTGATCACTTTCGGGGAGAAATTGGGTCATGCCACCTCTCCATCCATCCATTTTACCAATCAAACGCATCTGGTAAAGAGTTTGGGGCGATTTTCTTTATAATCTACCCACTTATGTTTGCTAGATTTTCTGTTTTCCTTTAAAAGGATGAGACTAAAAGTCCACCTTTATGAGTCAATGCCTGCCGCGAGGACTTTGAGGAGTATACGGAGTATCTCCATTGTATCCTATTAAAATCACTATAATCATGACTCGCTATAATCATGACAATCGTATTATAATCACGAGAATCCCATTAGTCAATGCCTCAATCCCATTATAATCATTTAACCATTAAAATCCGATGAAATGCCGAATTCAACAGCACCAAATGGCCTTCCCCCGCAGGCGAAACGCAGCTTCGGCCGAGACGTTGCCTGCGACCTGGTTAGAAGTGACAGACTGGGGACTGGGAGCGAGCGAAACGTGGGAACTGAGCTACTGAAATGCACAAGTTGATGAATATTAACTCCCATTTGTAATAACTATTTGTTTTAAGACACTGAGAACATCTTAAACCTTAAAACTATATATAATATATGATTAAATGCTACAGTCCAAGCTTCCTTCTATAAGAAAACTTGAGGCCGGGGGTGGATGACGAAAGCTAGCGGGGTAGGAGAAAGAAGGAAGGGAAGAGGTGAGTTGCGGAGGGACTGTCATCATCGTGTCGCGGCATTGTTCGTCCCAACGAGGATGCAACAATGATATATTGATATATGATATATAACAATGATATATATGGGGGAGGGGGCAGGGGGGGGCCCTTTCGCGTGAAAAATCACGTGATGTCCTTGAGCAGCCCCCCCAATACTTGCTAAAGCAAGAAGACTCCAGCTAGCTGACGCTAGCTTTCGTGATGAGGGGCTGGACTTTTTTGCGCATATATGTTTTGTAGAGAATTCATATGCAAATGGAAGTTAAGAAATTGAGGGACCCTGGAAGTTTAAAGGCTAAAACATTTAGATGTATGTGAAGGAGCCCCTGTGCGCCCCTGCTCAATTTTCTTAACCATGAAAGGGTTTATAAAGATTCTATTTGGCGCGGGAAATGGAGCCAGCCTCCCTTGCAACCAAATACCCGCCAAAATGAACTTTGCACAGCCATGGCATGGTTGGGAATGACAAGCAAGGGGGCAAGACCACCCCAGAGATGAGCTACTACACGGTCACCGAACCTGCTGGCAACAACTTCAGCCAGACACCGGCCAAACTCACTGTAGGTCATCTGTGCCCTTGGCTCGTGTTGCCTTGGCTTGCCTTGGCTTGCCTTGGCATGCCTTGCCTTGCCTGTGCTGCCTTTTTGCCACCGGGTACATGGTTAAGAAATTGAAGGGCTGGATTTCTTAGTTACACTAAGGTAAAAGTAGATGGCTCAACTCAAAAACCAAAATACCCATAAGATGGCACCGCGCGCTGAGAAAGAAAACGGCGCTATTTTAGCTGGAACATAAAACGAGGTCCGCCAATTGAAGAAAAAATCGCCCTACTTTAAAATGAACAGGTAGATGGCGCAACTGCCACTCCAGTAGATGGATATAAGGGTATTGTTAACTAAATTTACTACATTTCCTATCATTTTTGTTTGTATATACGGTGAAATTGCACGAATTTGTATTGTATAAAATGAGTTGCGCCATCTATGTCCCTTAAATCCCATTCAAACGCCAGAATCATTTTTTCGGTGAATTCAAAAATGAATTGCGCCATCTACGTCCCTTAAATCGTATACAAATCTTTCAACATTTCAGTGCCTGATTTTGGCGAATGAGTGGGAGTTGCGTCATCCATGTCCCTGAAAATGACCTATTTTTTGCAATTTTCTACACTCTGGCAATTTGCCACTTTGCTTGGCCCTGGAAAACGGGCCCCACCAAGTCCCCCGAAAAAGAATTTTTTCCTGAGTTTGCCAAAGGAAACTTGACACTTGGTGGGGTCCTTTTTCCGGAGCGAACCCAAGTGGAAAATTGGCACTGCGCTGGTTTCCCCCCATTTTTTTTCTCAACATCAAGCTGCCTTTTTGGGCATAGATGGCGCAACTCCAACTCGTTCGCCAAAATCAGGCTGGGAATGCCCACATAGATGGCGCAACTCCCTCATATCTCCCGACATCCATCAACCAACCTAACCAAAATATGCCACATCGATCAGAGTTATCCCCAGGCAGAAGGCAAAACCACCAGGAAAGACATCAGAGTTGTTCCCAGACAGGAGGCAAAACCACCAGGAAAGACATCAGAGTTGTCCCTTTTTGGGACATAGATGGCGCAACTTCCGTCATTTTGCCAGCAAAGGTCGAGACACTTTAAAACCAAATTTTAACAGGTGACCTGAGGAACCGTTTCTTGACGGCAAAAACGGTTCCTCAGGTCACTTGTTAAAGTTGGGTTTTAAAGCGTCTCGGCCTTTGCTGGCTCAAAATAACTTCCGTCATTTCGCCAAAATCAGGCTGGGAATGCCCACATAGATGGCGCAACCCCGGGAGTTGCGCCATCTATGCCCCAAAAAAGCAGCTTGATGTTGAGAAAAAAAAATGGGGAGAAACCAGCGCAGAAGATTGCAAAAAATATGTCATTTTTAGGGACATAGATGGCTCAACTGCCCTGTTTTAAAGGGAGTTGAGCCATCTATCCCCCATTTTTTTTTTGACATAGATGGCGCAACTCAAGATTCTGAGCCATCTACTTTTACCTCAGAGTATGTATTGTATTGAACCCTTACCCGGTCAGGTCTCCTCTACACAAGGCTTTTATAAACCCTTACACGGTTAAGAAATTGAGGGGCTGGATTTCTTAGTTATGTATTGAATTGAACCCTTAAGGTTTATAAGAGCCTTGTGCAGAGGAGACGTCACTGGGTAAGGATTCAACTCCATACATAACTAAGAAATCCAGCCCCTCAATTTCTTAATCATGTAAGGGTTTGTAAGAGCTTTCTGTAGAGGAGACTGGGTAACTGTTCCTTTGTGCCCAGGAGCCACTGGGAAGCGGCGCAAGGATGGCGGAAAGGAGCTGCGCAGAGGCAACCCCGCTCTTACATCTTCAAATCTGACTGCTTGTGAAATACTACATTAAGAAATTGCTAAGAAATTAAGGGACCCTCGACCGAATAATTGTACATATATACTGACATACATGGGGCCTTTCCAATAAGAAATTGAGAGACCCTGGCCATCGGCAACCAACATTCTTATATAACGCTCGCGCTGTATTATATACTATTATATACCACTATATACTAGTAAATAGTATTCATGAGGTTTATAAATCAACAAACATCACTGGGGGGGCCACATTGTACTTGGTAAAAAGATTGTTGAACGACCAAAATGACCGGCTGCAGTTTGGTGCGGCAGTTTTTTGACAGTGCTGAGAAAAAAAGGGCGGTCACCAACAGTTCCACTTCTTAAATTTGTCAGGGGTCCGGTTAGTCGGTACTATGGTTGGTAAATCATTGAATGGCATTGGATTTTTGTAGGCTTTAATTCGCCTCATGTGCAATGCGAAAAATAAAATGACTACCCTCCAATACTCTATGTTGTTTTCCCATACAACATCTGAATCTAAGTTAAGATCAAATATATATATATAATATAATAATAATTAAAATTAAAATAATAATACTAAACACATTTAAATAAAATATAAATAATATAAAGAACTAGGGTCCAGGCTTCCCATTGCCATGTTGGATTCCCAGAGGCTTCATTCTCCAAGCGCTTTACCGAGGGCCTCTACGTCAAAGTCGTGAAAGCCATTGGCTTTGGCAGCCACCAGGGCTGCATCATTGCTGCGGACACTCTCCACCTCGGGGTAGCGCCAAAAAGGTGGTCGAAGCATCAAACATAGTCATTGAACCACTGAATCATGGATTCTGGTGCCACAGTTCGTTAGCTAAGTTGGTTGATCATTAGGTTGACAAGGGTTTACATGATTGATTACAATTGTATATAATTAACTATATTTACGTGGGGCTAAATTCCAACTTCGAACTGGGGGTCAACACCACAAGAGATACCCCTGTTGATGGGTTAATTGAAGGGACTATACTCGCTGGTGTATTGGGGAAAATCATGTAGATATTACCCATTGACAGGAATACCCATTTACCAACCACTATAAATGGGATTGGATAGGGATATTTCTTGGTGGTTCAGTCATAAGTTGGTTGGCTTATAACCGCATCCAACTAGTTTGATTTATTTCAGAAAGGTGATGAAATGACACTGACGTGGGATAGAATGGGTATTACCTGTTGTAACGTAAATGGTGAAATGGGTCCGGGTATACGATGGAAAATCCAAAACTGTCATGATTGAAGTCACATATTTTTCCTGGCTGAATCACGGATGAACGCATGATTCTCTATGCATCTGAGTTCCTCCCAGTTGAATTCCTATGAGTGAAATTCATGCTTGAAACCACCGTATATATTGTTGGAACAACCACGCAATTACACCACGTGGTATTTAAACCTAGCCATGGAAAATCACCAATTTTTACGGGTCATGCTCCGAAAATCAATGGCCAGCATGGGTGTGTCTGAAAACGGGTACCCTAACATCTAATAATTCATCATCATTTTCCTTCTTACAAGGCAAAGTTTGCAGTGACAAGGCCATTTCCAGGTAATTTACTATTTATATTTCACTTATAATATTTGTAGTAAATAATATTTGGTCATACCGCATGTTCAGACAAAACCAACTATTAGTTAATGTACCATATCAAGTTGGTCAAGATCACGTTCATCTCCCCATTACATCGCAATTATACGTAAATCATATGTGTATATATATATAAATGAATGTGTTGTTATATGTTGTTATAGATACTTGATATATAACAAGTAATATATATATATATACATACATACGTAACCCCCCTGCCTTCCGTATGTCTGCGCCCCCCCCTGTTCATACATTTCCATCAAATGTATGAAAGGTAGGGGGGCAGGGTAGGGGGGCAGGGGGGGGCCTCAAAAGTGTCATGCTATTTCGTAAGATACCCCAGGAAAACTCCATGAGCATCAAAGATCCATGGCCTTGAAAAATCAATGTATGAAACCCCCTCCCCACCTTTTTCTAAACAAGCTTTTGAAGCCAAATACTGAAAATGTATGAGGAGAACCCCCCACCTCTTTAGGTAATCTCTTAATTTTACCAAACAAAGTTCAAACAATAATGCCCGTTTCAGAGGGGGGGGTGGAAATGTATGAAAAATTCCCTGCCTCCCTCCCTCTCCATACATTTTAAGGGGTGGGAGATCATACGTATATATATGTATATATATCCATAGGATCCATGTATGGTACATATGGTAACATGGATCCCATCAATATACCCCAGTCATGTTGGCATATATATACCAGCACCATGGATCCTATGGGATATATATATATATATATATATATATTGTAAATGGGACATTTTCCTTTACATCCCCCAGCCCTTAAAATGGCTCCGGCCTCAAGTGGCTCGAAACTGCCATCGGAGATCTGCCGGACATCCGTGGACGATCCCGGAGGTTGGTAGCGGTAAAGAGTAGAATAGCAGTTGATCATGTAAAAATTCAGATGTAAACATGATTGTTTATGTATGTATATTCTGGAATTCGAGAGTTTACTTAATGATTATACTGTTTATTCAATAGAAAAATAGACCCATAAGCTCTATGTATGGTAGATTTGCCTATAATTGCCTAAATTTACCTGCAGTTGAGACATGTTGGGGGTAAATGTTGGTAAGCATTCCATACATGGAGCATAGGGGAGAGTTTCACCCAATGAAATAAATATAATGCTAGAATTTGATAGAATGATATAAATGGACAGTTAAATTCACCCCAATAAATAGACTAAGGTTAGACACCTAGAACATATGGAGGAAACATCAACGTTTTCCATCCTGGTGGCACATTAAACTCGGCATCTTCGCGGGGGTTGCCCAGGATACAGGATAGGGCGCTCCAGTTCTGTCTGTTGGTTTGTGGGGCCCCATCGAAATATTGTTATTTGCGTATCATACACTGTGGTGATTGTAGTTATAAACGCACCAACTTAGCTAACGAACTGGGTCCCCATCCTGTAGTAAATAATGTCATTCTCTTGCATTTGCTTAAAACAAACAACAGCAGATTCCTTCAATGGTGGATTTACCCATCCCATGAGAAAACAGGCGCAAATCATCAAACCTGTATCAATTTATGTGGGAAGTATCCAAAACTCAGTCTTTAGGATTTTTGGAGAGGGTAACCTGGGTAAACTAGTTTCACGATTGTGTGTTTTTTTTGGGAGAGCCACCCCAAGAGCCATGTGACGATGACACCACACGCTGCGAAGCACGCAAGGCCCACAAGGACAGACGATTCTAGAGCCTTTTGTATCCTGCTTTCCGTGCCTCCAATCTTTGTGCGGCAGCAAAGATCTTCTCAATTTGAATCAATTCTGGCCTTTGGTAGACCCCCAATGGATCCAGTTGCATTCAACGGATCGTCTGCTACGAGGAGTTTTAATTACCTACACTCTGGCATGTCTGAAAATGAAGAATAAACCAATAATATGTTGGGCAACTGTTCATCTGCATTTTCACATACCAAACCCATTTGCCATTCTTCATTGGTTAACCCACTATGGTTTGTGGTTGAATCACCATGTTTCACATTGTTTGTTCCTTAAGTCACTTAAGTCCGCAATCCAACAAATCCCTAAATTCAATGCTTAAACCCCAATTTTGGGTGGATGATATCAATATCATGTCCCTATTTGCAGGATGATAGCCCCGTTGCTGCTACTTAAGCACAGAGTTTCTTCCACACAGAGCATCTGGAAGTCCCAAAAGGACATCGATGTGGCTCAGAAGAAGTACAACAGGATCAGCAGCCTCAGCCAAAAAGTGGGGTCACTAGACGATACTTCAAGTTGGTGAACTTCAAGTTGGTGACCATAACCTTAATAAGTATGGTTTATGATACTTATCATTGTAGTATTCATAGGCTTCATCAGATTTTATAAGCCAACAAACATCACTTGGTGGTCCCTCATTGTATCCTCTATACCTATATGTATACATATATACATATCCATAATGTGCTGTCTCAACTAAATGATTTTGTTTGCTCTGGTGCTGTTGAGCTCAGTGCCCAGGTCAAATGCTGTCCTAATCTGATGATATGTTCATCTGAAATGAGTCCGAAATACTATGTATATATAAATATGTATAATAATATATATATACACACACATATGTATCACAATGTACACTATATATATATACATAAATCTTGCAAGAGGGACCAGTCAGGTTCCCACCTCAAAAACTGCATCGACGCCTCCGCCGAGTCACAGGATGCATCCCCAAACGAAGGCCGGCAGAGGGTCAAAGACGGCAGTGGAAGCAGGAGCATCCTCCTTCTTCCCATGACCTCAGAACCGACAAATCACCTACCAATGTGGGCCCCAAAAAAAACGTGGCTAAGTTGGTTTATAAAGATTTATACAGGCCGCGCGAACTATAGTTATTTTTTAGTATCCATCGTCAGACTGGAGTTATGTTCACCAATTTAGCTATCTAGAGGGCCCCACTTTGCATATATCAATGGGAATTTCAGGACCCTAAAAGGAGGCTACTGTACCATATAAAGCCAGATTTTGGGGGCATAGCTCCTTACATAGCCCCCTTACATAGCCCCTTACATAGCCCTGAAAAATAGGCCTTATATACCGTAGGTAACTCCCATAAATCGGTGAAATGGCGATTAAATGGAAGGAACAAATTACCGTCACCATAGTTGTATTGGAATCACATTCTGACAGGATGTGGATGGATCCAGAGGTGATATGCCCAATCAAATCCAATGGGCTTGGATGGTAGATGCCTCCACCACCCCTCTCACCGAGGGTCAGTCTTGTAGAAAGGCGGCCAAATGAACATTGGCTTGTGAATGACAACCCATTGACTATTAGGGTGATTTGGTATTCTAGGAGTCTTCAAATGCAAAAAAAACAATAGAATACCACATCTATTAACCACATCTATTAAAGTTGTATCTGTCACACAACTTTTTCATAGAAATTGAAAAAAACACGATAGACAATACTGGCTGGTGGTCGACCTACCCCTCTGAAAAATATGACAACTCGTCAGTTGGGATGTTGATGCCCAATATGGAAAGTCATAAAGATTGCTCCAAACCACCAACCAGGATATCATTGGGATATAATTGGGAGGACCAAGGGGATACCAGCACTAAACAAGCCATTGATGGTGATAACTATTATCAATCCATTACTTGTAATTAATCATCACTGTTCCAATTAAAGTGCTGTGTTTGTATTTCTATGTTTCAATTGGACCCCCACATGGATGTGCATGGCAATTGGCAACTGGGAGTTAATTTTTGCAGCTCTAAATTGGGGATATACCGCATTTAGATGCACCATGTGTACCGACATATAAAAACATGCATATCCACATATATATATAATCCTTATATACATAAAATGTTCATATATATATATATATATATGTATATGTATATGTATGTATAACTATATATATATGATTATAAATAATAGATCATATGTACCAATGAGTATGTATATATATATACACATACATATATAAATAATTATGTATATAGATGTATGATTGGGTATATATATATTTGTATACCAATGCTACCAATACGGAAATCAATATACCACCCATGTTCCTGGCTCCCGCACTGATGCCACAGGCTTGACGGAAGTACCTCCAGACTGCACCTGTCGAGCTGTAAAAGATAGATACATTTACTGTATATATATATACACTGTATGACTACATGTATATATATATATATACATTATTACTGTATCACCATATACAATTATATATAAACACGTGTATGTATATATATATATATATATGTTGTGCAGTAATGCGCCCATAGTATTATGTAGATACATGTTTCTGGCTGCTTGGTATCTAGCTGCAGGGATAGGCATGCTTTGTATCTTGGGCAAACTCTGTGACTCCAGTCAGTGTGGACTAGTGGACTACTAGGGGTGTTCCGTGGAAGTCTTGGAAATCGTGGTGTGGAACATATGTGGACCCAATGGGTCAAAGTTTTCAGCATCTGGGGGACCACAGGGTCACATTTCATGATTGACCATCCATTAGTGGGGGTACCCAATTTTGACCCAGACCCAGACGATGCCAGTCGGGTTGGTGACGAAAGAACATCGGGTTGGATCAATTGATGTGATTCTGAGATGCCATGCAGACGACACAAATGGGATTGAACAAACTACAACGGAACCGTTTTCACAAAAGTCATTTTTCCATTTTCATTGAGTCGCTTCACTTCAGTTCAGATAGTTCAGTTGGTTGGAAAACACAGAGTTCTTCCGATCCATCTATGCGGCCATGGTAAGCATTCATACAGCATTGCCGAAGACTAGGCTACCCCACACAAATCAATGGTGCATCACCCAGTTGGGGGTATACCTTTGGTAAAAAATAACCATTTTCAGTCGGCTTTGACCCTCAACTGACCCCCCAAAAAAATTGATATCCACCCCACGATTTTCGTTTTAAGTAGCATTTTGTCTGCGTGAATTGACGGTCAAGTTATACCCCAGGGTCGACTAACGATGTGGAAAATCAACCATTTGCAGACTTTTTGCCTGGGGTTTCCTCATGAATTTTCCACATCGAACGTTTACCCGAGGGGAACTTATCAAGTTGGTGAAGTACATCCCATTCACATCTCCATAATGTGTGTCTCCATTGTGGTTGGTAATCATCATGAATCATCATGAATCATCATGAATCATCATGAATCATCAAGAATCATCATGAATCATCTATCTATCTAATCTAATCTAATCTAATCTAATCTATCTATCTATCTAATCTATCTATCTATCTATCTATCTATCTATCTATCTATCTATCTATCTATCTATCTATCTATCTATCTATCTATCTATCTATCTATCTATCTATCTATCCTTCTATCTATCTATCTATCTATCTATCTATCTATCTATCTATCTATCTATCTATCTATCTATCTATCTATCTATCTATCTATCTATCTATCTATCTATGCATTTCTTTCTGAAATAAGGGGGTATTCCAAATCATCCAAGTCATAAACATTAGCATCAAAAATGACAATTTAGACATTCACCGAGTTATTGCCAGCAACTTAGCTACTGAAAACCTCCACCTTGATTTTCCCTTCATGTTCCCCAAAAATGGTACAATGTGGGCCCCACCCAGTTATAAGTTGGTTTATAAGCCCCAGTAACCATAGTTATAGGTACCATAAACGATAGTTATTGGAGTTATGTTCGCCAATTAAGCTATCGTTTGGGGGCCTCACATTGTATACACCCATGGTGACTTGGGGTACCCCGGTACCCCCCCTGACGGCCACCTGAACGGATGGGCTCGCAGCGGAAGCCCACGTGATGATCCGGGCGCACCACAAAGAGACATTGCCCATGCACGCCGAAACGCTCATGTGCCTGGCCCAGGGAACTGCCGGAAGGGTGGAAAACCCATGGGGAAAACCCATGGGATGACAATAACACACAATAACAATGGTTTTTTTTTGGGGAAAACCATGGAAAAACCATTGAACATTGTAGGGAAAACCGGAAAACCCATGGAAAACCACCAAAGTCCCTGGTTTTAAACTTCAGTTGAGCTATGATTTCATGCCAATTTCGAGGCATCAGGTCTTTTGTGGGGAAAAAAACACGTTGTTGGAGGTGAGATTTTTGTCTCAATCATTTTCTTTGTTGGACAGGTTCCAATGTTACAATGTTTGGAAGGGAATTCCTATGTGCCAAAAACTTCCCATTCTGGTTGGCAAGATGTCGTGGGACAGATTCCCAATGTTTTGGAACAAACTGTTTGTGATAGAAATGTTGAAGGTCTCTACCAAGAAACAGCTAACCAAATGGAAACAAATACCCATATGCTCCATGTATGGTCTAGTTCATTTGCACCATGGTTGGGTCAATGTTACTGGATAGTGCAAACATGTGCATGAAACATATGGGATACCTTATGAACGTTTACACTTTGCTCTTGAGTTTACCACACGCATGAAATCTCCACCGCCGCAGCTCACTTTTCGCGGCGTCGCGATTTTGGCGTTACCAAACCCGGCATCACAACTCCGTCTTGAAGTTTCCGCGCGATTCACTTGGAAGACCTCGGTTGCTGTCCAAATGCTGTCCGTTGCTGTCCCAGCCGACGTGTATGGCTGAAGTTTAAGGCTGACAAGGCCGAAAAATGGCATTGAGGAAAGGGATCAACAAAAAAAAAAATGCCCAACTCACATCACCTTTTCGGGTGGGCATCCACTTTTTCCGAGTCATGCAAAGTATCAAGTCCGAGTCATGCAAAGTATCTCGTCACTGGCCAAATCTGCAGCTTTCGGTGAAATCAACGTGTTCACCGATCTCACTGGTTTCCCAATTTCTGTGAGATAAATCATGGTTTTGTTGAACATTGATGAACATTGCACATTTTGATTGATTTCATCACAATGTTATAAATGTTATAACCGCAGCAATGCAAAGTCTAAAGAGTCTAGCTGACCAAATCACATTGTTTAACACCATCTGTGCTGCTTAAATCCCAATTTGCGTTGAAGGGCCCCCCCTACAGGTAGTTACGTTTTTTGGTTTATAAACCCTATTTTCCACACACATATTTACCACAAGTCCTAATTCTTGCCTATCATTTTGCCAGCCCCTTCCTGTTTCAAAACTACACAAAAACAACAACAAATTGCATGTTCTCACAATGTTTGTCTGATAAAAAACAATATTCCTTCATACAACCTATTATTAATTAACCCATATAAACCCATATTAACTCAACATGTTTAACCATGTTTAACCCAGTCACAGTGTGTCACCACCTGCACCGGCGCATCAAGCGCAGCTTGCGCAGGTGCAGTCCGTAGATCCGTCGGCACAGCGCTGATGCCGCTGGCATCAGTCCAGTCATGATCCGTGTCAGTGGGCCTGGGCAGCGGATGGAAAGATGGCTGAGGCTCTGATTTCTACCCTCTGATAAACTAACAGTTTGCTATCGAAAACCATCATCTTTATCGAAGGAAGTTTAGAAGTCAAACGTCCGACAGTATGGAGAGATGGAAAAGCAGAGGTGGGAAGAGTCAGAGAAGAGAAGAGAAGAGAAGAGAAGAGAAGAGAAGAGAAGAGAAAAGAAGAAAGAATATCAGAGAAGAGAAAGATTCAGAGGAAAGAAGATGCAGCGCGAAAAGGCAGAAAAGTCGCGACACACCCTGTGTTTCTCCTATGATTTGTGTCTCCGGAGGGTCGAAAAGTAGGCTTGCTAAAGCAGCAGGTGCAGAGCCATCTGGCCAAATGAGAGATGAAAAATTGCACGCCGTTGTGGCGCGAAGCATATTTGGAAGTCAAAAGTGTAAAAAACTGACGACCTCATACGAATGCGATTTGCGTTTTTTCGACTTCATCTGTCTAAAGTACTGCGCCTGGCACGAAAAAGTGAAGCCAGGTCATACTTACTTCCCCGGGCAGCACCTTCGTCCTGGCTGTATAGTTACTAGGGTTTATAAACCAACTATCACTTACAACTTGAGGTACCCCACTAAGCTGGTTTGGAAGCCATTTTTTTCTATTAACATAGTCATTATACATGTTATTGCAAGATACAAGTACCACAAACACCACAAACCACAGTGAAATTGGAGCTGTTCACCAACTGCGATTTCGTAGGCGCCATACTGGCTCGGCCCGTCCGCCGGCCGCCAAGTGTCGATGCAGCGGAACTGCCGGTTTCCGCTGGCAGTGAAAAAACACGCACTTCCGCCTCAGCGTCTTCGGGCCTCAATGCGACGTTGATGTTTTTGTTGTTTATAAAATTCCCTATGGATCCAGCCGTACCTTCTGAAAGGAAGTGGGACTGGGGTATAATTTACTATAATTTGGAGGGTTAAGTACTTTCTCAAACAGTGTTTGGATCCATAGATATGTATATATGCACCAGGCCCTGCCAACCCCCCCTCCCACCCCCCATGGGTCCCATATACTGCCCCCATAATATGAGATCTTCCCCTCCCCCCCTGTGGTGTGGTGGGGATGTGGTATGGTATGTTGGGTATGTATGATGTGTATGGTCGGTCTGGTATGGCATGTTTGGAAAGTATGGTATGTTTGGTATGTATGGTAGGTATGGTATGTATGGCATGAATGTTTGGTATTGTATGGATGGTAGGTATGGTAGGTATGGTATGTTTGATATGACAGTATCTATAGTCTGTATGGTATGCATGGTTGCTATGATGGGTATGGAACGTTTCCTATGTAAGGTAGGTATGGTATGTATGGCATGTATGTTTGGTATTGTATGTATGGTAGGCGTGGTAATTATGGTTCATATGTATGGTATGTATGGTATGAAAGGTATGTATGATAGGTATGATAGGTATGGTATGCAAGGTTACTATGGTGGGTATGGACTGTTTCCTATGTAAGGTAGGTATGGTATGTATGGCATGTATGTTTGGTATTGTATGTATGGTAGGCGTGGTAATTATGTTTCATATGTATAATATGTGTGGTATGTATGATAGGTATGATAGGTATGGTATGCATGGCATCATTGGAATGTATGGTAAGTACGGTATATGTTATGTGATGTTAAACACATGTAGTGTTGTCAGAGTACACAGGTAGTAAATAGGAAGTAGATACATAGCACATGTCTATATATATATAAATATATATATATATGTCTATAGGTAGCACGTAGGTACTTTGAGGGAGTATGTGTGCTACGTAGGTCGCCGAAAAGGTAGCATGTACCTAGTAAATGCGAGGCTGGTAGTCAGAAATGCTGCAAAGACCTAGCAAATACGAAGCTGGACCTCAGAAATGCTGCCAATAGCTTGCAAATAGAATGGAAGGGGGGGTGCTACCTGGGGACCCAACCCATTGGAGGGGGTGGGTGGAGAGACGGAGGACGGGACCATATATAAACCTCACTGCGACCGAACCCTGGAATCATGGTTTATTTTAGGGAAATCATCCCCAAATGGCCCAACAATTCAGGTTAGTGAAATATTATAAGTTACCAATATATGTATATATATAGTACAACGAACATCAACAACATACTAATACAATAATATGTTAACGTAAAATACAGTAAAATTATGACATGACAATTCACAATATACTTGGATTTCAAATAGTGTTAACATATTGTCTATAGATGACTATAGTATCAATATCATCATGAATATGTTAATCAGACTTGTTATTGTAAATTAAACAGAATGTTCAATTGTTCAATTATACCGTCCTTTGATATACAAAACTGTATTATAGATCAGTAATATCGTTTCTGTTGGTTTTTCCATTAAAGTACAATCAGGTGTGACGATTACTACTATTTTTGTTAATTACTTCATATGTATACACACATATATATTATAATATATATTATATTATAATATATATTATATTATATTATATATTATATTATATTAAATTATATTATATTATATATTATATTATATTATATTATAATATATATATAATTATAAATATATATATATATATGATATTAATATATATATATATATATAATACTACAATATAGTTAAAACATGTACTATAATTAATATACTAATACCAAACAAATGACCTCAAATTACCATTATGACGTTCACTACGGAGCCGAACATCTTCGCCGCGGTACGGCCCATGGCACGCTTTGAGTCTGCTGATGGGCTCCACCATGGCCTCCTGACGATATCGAACTGGACAGGACGGGGCCCCCGTTGATTGTTGCGTTCAGTTGCCTTGTAAACGGAGCTGAAAAAACTATGGTTTATGGTAGATATAACGAGTGAGTTACTAGATGTTAATAACATCAGATGTTACAGTAATAGTATTCATGGGGATTATTTCATGGTTTATCAACTTATAAATGCATCAGACATATCAGAATAATGATGTTGTTCTGTTTAAGGTCTCCATGGAAATAGTGGATTATCCCATGATTTTCCCATATTTCTGATGTTTGTTCCATAGTGTTAAATCCTGATTAGTAGCTAGGCTCACTATTGTGGCTTAAACAATTCCAAATTATTCTGAACCCATGAAATGTTTGGAAGTTTCACTATTGTGGCAATAATATTTGGCAGACCAATGTTGTTGTCAAAACAACTGTTTGCGTGAAAACATCTTAACGATTTTTTCGGAATAAATCTTGCTTGTCTGCCTTTCCCAAAAGAATCATATCGCTTATTAAACCTTTATTAAAGAACAGCTTTTCCACAAATTTCCAAGGCACTGGACCATGAGAGGGTCCAGTTCACTTTAGTAGGTTTGTTGCCTAGGTTCGGAATTGCAGCAAACTTTTCCGGAGGTGATCCTGGAGCCAAGAGAAAAAAAGGCCTTTTGCAAAAGCAACCCGTTCTTTCTCTTTCTTTTTTTTCCTCTCTCTCTCTCTATCTTTCTCTTTCTCTTTTTACACCTTTAATAAACATATTGATGTGGAAAAGGTAACGCAATCAACATGCTGTGAACCCCATTCACTACAAGTATTACAAGTACTACAAGTACTACAAATATCACAAGTTCATCGGCATCAAAAACAGTTTTCATGCGATGTCAATTGTCGCCAATTACAATCCTCACTTAAATGTAGGATCATATGTTGTTGTTGTTTTTTTCTGGGGAACAGTTTTTAAAAGCTCAACTTAAAACAGGGTATAGCATTCGTTTGAGGGGGTACAGTCAAATCAGGACGGAACATTATAGGAAACGCTGTTTTTTTCCCAGTGACTTTCATAGCTTGGGAAACTCGATTCGTAGCTCCAAGTGGCTCCCCACCGATAGCTGCGAAGCGCTGCCTCCTATCCACTAGATAGGTGAAATGTTCCCGGGGTTCCTGCAACTTTAACTTGAACCAATTCAATTGGAATGTTGAGCACAAAGTTCAATGACCATAATTACATTATGTTTTACTATAATTACTAATTATAAATGATTAGATTTCGAAAAATGTCCCTTAGTTAGTTACAACATGTTACAACATGTTGCAACTAAGCAAATATTCAAAACCCTCTGCCTTTCCATTTACTCCGGGCTGAAAACGGGATTCCCATACTTCATGGATGATGATAGTCCCCAATATGTCAGGGTACAAAAACTTATAGCTGCTATAGCCCCCTCAACCAATCACACAACCATCATGTATCAATTATATCCATGTAAATTCCAATATTGTTCATGGTTGAAACGTTACAATATCATAATGAAACCAACTGGCCATGAATTCACCAACCAACAGGGGTGTCGATCGCAGCTGCTGCCGCGTCCTCCTTGTTGCGTGGCTGGATGCAGCTGTGCGTGCACATGGGCGGAAACCATTCCAAGTCGTATCTGCCGGGATTGGGGGAAGGGGGATGGACTTTTGTTTAACCCCCACAAAATGGGGATTTATGGGATAATTATGGATAATTGGGATCTAAACTCAACCATAACTATAGGATATAATGGGACATATTGATTACTGTCTGGAAATCAAACGTGGTAATGAGAAATCCCCGAGATACAGAGGTTATGGCTCGAAAAATCATCGAACGTGATTTGGTGATATGCAGCATGTTGATTACCGGAGGCTAAGCACCGCTACGTGATGTGGCAAAGATCGTGTTTTTCCCCAACGAATTTCGATATCATGGGGATTGATTGAAACATCCAAATATGGGGATATCAACGTTTGTTGTCAGCGATTACACAAATTCTGACCGTCAGCTATCATTGTTATAGCCATCAACCCCCAACTATGCCTTGAACGATCATCCCACCTAGTAACTGGAAAATCACCTGGCTGATAAGTCCAGTAGGCTAGAACCCTTACAAACAAATTCATCAGCTGCTACTATATAGTTGATATATACTCAGTATCTATCATGTGCTTGGGAAACTCAACTGGTAGCTCCATTTGGCTCCCGCAAGACAAGGGCTCCTAACCGCTTAAGGACTCCCAAAAAGTAACAACTATTCCCTACAGATTCCCCAAGGAGATCAGGAAATTCCGGAAGGTGATAGCCTGGTGGTTGACCTACCCCTCTGAAAAATATGAGTCAATGGGAAGGATGACATCCATGATTACCCCATATGGAAAATAAAATTCATGTTCCAAACCACCAACCGGTGTCTATTTCCATAGAATTCATGGGGCATTTCTCCTATCAATGGAAAGGATTATCCCATATATTATGGAACATAAAATTCATGTTTGAAACCACCAACCAGTAGCGGTTTTTGTGGATCACACATCCTCCCAGTGACACGAAGTTCTGTGATCCTCGGTGTTCATCGACCATTTCCTATACGCATCTGCACGTGTCCTTGCTTGGCACACACGAACTACTTATAAAGTTCATGGGGCGTTCACCAGCCCTCCAAGGATAGATGCTTATAAATGGCATGATGGTTCATGCCTAGCTGGTTGGTGGTTTCAACCCCTCTGAAAAATATTAATAAGTTGGGATGATTATTCCATATATTATAGAAAAATAAAAAATGTTCCAAACCACCAACCAGCTAGTGGTTGTTGGTGAATATCTGAATTCAGCGATTTTAGTAACCCCTGGATTCACCCCCATGAAAAATTCCCATCATTTTTTCCCCCATGAGATTCCCATAGATTGCCCAAAATTGCTGAACACAGCCACATAATATTTCAGCAGTAAAATAACAGTACTTAAAATTAAAGTTGATTTACCCTCTGCTTATTTAACATAGCCATGGAAAATGGCCCATTTATAGATGGTTTACCTATTAAAGATGGTGATTTTCCATGGCTATGTTAGTCATAACCAGATGGTACATTGATAAAAACGACTGATAACCATAACGGTAACATCCCCAAAATTCTCCAAAGGAGGATCCTAAACATATCAATGTGAGTGGTGAGCAGTGTGAAAAATTCATCCCTCTATCATGCCATTGAATCCTGCTTGGTTAAGAGCGGGATTCCCCGTTCTTGGATTATTGTAATCCGCAACAAAAATTGGGTAGTATAGTCCCCGAACTAAAAAAATCAACCAAGCATCATTTATCAATATGTCCCAACTATATCAACGAACTAATCCCATATGTTCAATGGTTAAATCCCATAAAAAATGCCATTTAAATCATCCACCAACAGGGGTTTTTTGAAACGTCCTGGGGATCCCCAGTCCTGGCTGGCTGGACACTGACTTGGGGGATCCGAAAAACCCGTGAGTGCGTTGTGTCCTAAGTGGTTTCTTGGCAAATATTAAATATAAGTGACTTATCCCCGTCATTATATATATATATATGTAGATCATATCTCTAATATATATATACACAATATCTATAATATATGCATTTTTGGTCGACCAGGGTTGGGGATACAACTATACTATCTATCTAAATATCTATACTTAGTGAGGATTATAAACTAAATAAAACTAAATTAAACTAACAATACCATTGTCCCCATGAGATCCCCATGATTGTGCCGCCTCTGCTTAGACTGGAGATCAGCATCACCAGCAGGGAAAACCCAGCTGGGAAGTGAAAGCCTGGATCGGTCAAATTCACCAGGCCCTTCTCGAAAAGCCCAGAATGGGATTTAACCATCAAAAATATGGATTTAACCATCAAAAATATGGATTGAACCATCCCAAATTAGGATTCGACTCATGAAATGAGTATGATTTAACCATGAAAATTAACCACCTAAATTTTGGATTTAACCGTCAACAATTGGGATTGGACCATCAACAATTCTTGTCCAACAAAGCCATGGAAGTTCATGGAAGCACATTCCGTTTGAGGGCTTCTACAGAAATGCCACTCGGATACCCCACGTTATGGCAAGTTGAATGGGAAGATGATGAGTTATGGCACTTCGGGGTAACCTAGCTATTTTATACTATTTTCAGACAAACCCATTTAACCAGTCAAACTGATGATTTCATAAGAATGAGGATATAAGGATGAATACTAGATATGTAGCCAATGAATACTCCTTGCTGGCTGTATGCAACATGCAGTCGGCCAAATACACAGTTTTTGTTGGTGCTTTAGTCAACTAAAATGGTGCTTGATGAATCAACAAAGGAGATTTATGCAACTAACCAGCCGGCAAACCAGGTGCTTTGAGAAGGAAGTGGAGCAAGTGTCACGGGTGCAGTCAGCAACAATCTAATGGAATTCATCCAACAAGGCAAACATCGGCTTGTCCAGAAATTGGCAATAATGTCGACCCATGACCCAAGGTTACAAAAATACCAGTTAATTAATTAATTGGGACGGTACCAATTTTACAGTAATAGTAATAATAGTACTTGATCACAGCTTTGGGGGTACCTCTGCAAATTGATCCAGGGCTGACATTACCCGTACAATAACCAGTTGAATAGGACACATCTAATCTAATTTGATGAAACGCCAAATTTGGGGGTAACCTCTGGTAAACGTTTACATAACTATGGAAAATCACGATTTTCTAGCTGGGTAAATCCACTATTTCGACTGGGCCATGGCTTCAAGTTCGCAAACTGTTAGTCATTACCAGAGGGTACCATATCGACTGTCGTGGGGATCTCGCCATCAATAGGCGTTCTGATTAGCCCTCATGCTGCTTCCAAGCTGCCAGACAAATACTAGTCTATGAACATGGAAAATCAAGTAGCAAACCACGAAATGCATTCACCCACAGATACACAGGCTGTGTGTCAATATCCAGTAATTCCTTGTAACTCCAAAAATTATGACAACAGGCGACAAATAATGATACATATATGACATATTTGTCCAAGACAATATCCAGAATTTCCTGTTATATCCAAGACAAATGCTGGATTTCCGCCAGGAACAAGTCCGCATTGGTACCGCCGTGGATCCAAGATATCCAAGCGGAAACCCGTTGCTTCAGATGGGTCCACCCCAAACCTTTGGGTCACGTGTCATACGACAAAAAATGTCAATGTGGCAATGTGGCATGTTCATCTCACCATCACTAGATACGTTATTTGAATAGGTAAACATATATATATATATGTATATTCGATATGGTGGCATGACCATGCCCCACTGTGGGTATCTAATCCAACTTTTGCCCATGGCACATATCACCTAAAGGCCTATAATGTGTATAATATATAATATATATATATATAATATATATATACACATATATATATACATATTATATTGTTAACTTTCGTAATTCATGGGGGGTGCTTGTATTTAAGGTCGGGGGGTTGTGCATAAGGCTAGGTAGTGTTGACGGTCATTGAAATTGGTATGGGGGCTACACCGACCTTGATAACGAAGTTGAACACGAGATAAAGATCACAATTAACCCCACTGGGCAATGCTTGCCAGCTTGCCCATGTAGAACTTATGGTCTGATCGTTGTATTGATTTATATTTGGTACATGTTCCCATGTTCAGTAAGACGCTGTCTCTCAGCTTGTTTTTTGTTCCTGTAGGCCCTGGGCGTGTCTCGCATTTGTTGATTCTCATCCAGTTGAAGTCCCACAAATCTTATTATGTGCACGGTGCCCCACAGCACAAGAATGTGAGAGGCCAAGTCGATCTTACAAAAACAAACCATCAATTTGTATGATTTTTCCCACTAAAAAATCAATCATTGAATTAAAATTGGACAGCTGTGAAAATCTAGTTGTGGAAGGTGGCGGGGTTGTCTTTAAGGTTTGCCCCCGAAATAAGGTGCATGTAGTATGCAAAATTCATAAGATCAAATGTAGGGGATTCTTGGCTGAAGAGAGGGTTGCGAAGACAGGGTTGCGCAATCAATTTCGGGACACGGCCAAGAGTTCAGTTATTTTTTTTCATTTGTTTCTTCTATTTTATGTCAGTACAGTTTTACTTTCTTTTTTTTGCAGCCAGAATCCTGTGCCTTGCCGGCTGCTCACAAAAGGTAGTCTTTAACAAAGGCCCGCCGCAGGCGACATTTTTGAGCATAGGATCGTCGCCCAGGAAGCATTAATTCCATCAATCTGAAAGCAATGAAAAAACAAACAATAAATAGATGTATTGTGTTTTCCTTGTTTTCAATTCTTCTAGTTTTCTTTTTTTAATTCTGTTCAGTTTTTCATTTATTTCCTTTTTGCGTTTTCATTCTATGTTTTTCTCTTGTTTATGTTTTCTGTGTGTTTTTTTTTGTCTCCGCAAAATCCTTAAATTCAAAGGCTGGCCTTGAATTTAAGGAAATTCGATTTTTTCCCATGTTTCTTTTTTCAAAAAAAAAATGAAATTTGATCTTTTTGCAAAATCCACCGTTTTTGATTTTTTACACAAGGAATTTTCCAAATAAAAACACTGAAATAAACTTTTTAAATATGTTTTTCCTGCAACATATAATTGTGGGAAAAGTCAAAATTCTTTGAATTCAACGCCGGCCAGTAAGATTAAGGAAATAAGGAAAATACTATAACAAATATATAATGAAAAAAACACGCAAGCACAAAAAAAAATACATTAGAACCATTTCCAAAAAAAACAAGAAAGAAACAAAAAATGGAAAGGTAAAGAAAATCCAAAATATAAAGAAAACAAAAACAACAGAAAAAAAAAAATACAAAAAAAACGAAAAAAAAAAAAAACGGAAAGAAAAAAAAACAACGCTAAAAAAAAGAAGAAAAAACGGAAAACAAAATCGGGAAAAAAAACGGAAAAAACATCGAGAAAAAAAACGGAAAAAAAAACGGAAAAAAAAACGGTTAAAAAAAAGAAAAAATCGAAAAAAAAAAGAACGAAAAAAAAAAACGAAAAAATCGAGAAACAAATTGAAAAACAAAAAAAACGACCAAAAAAAAAGGCGAACAAAAAAAAACGAAAAAAAAAAAACGAAAAAAAACAAAAAAAAATCTTATTTCAGGCAAAAATACCTTAAATTCAGCCCTAGGGTTGAATTTAAGGATGCTGTGATGACTTTGGCCTATATTTTTGCTCCAAAATATGAGAAATATTGGTTTTGGAGTGGATTTTGTAGGCCAAATTTCTTTTTTTGGCAAAGTAATTTTGATATTTTTCATTGTTTTGGGCTTTTTGTTTGCAATTCACTATGCCAAAGTCATCACAGCATCCTTAAATTCAACCCTAGGGCTGAATTTAAGGTATTTTTGCCTGAAGTAAGATTTTTTTTCGCCCTTTTTTTTTCCATTTTTTTTTTCGATTTTTTTTGTTTGTTTTTTCGATTTTTTTTCTCGATTTTTTCCGGTGTTTTTTTTCGCGTTTTTTTTTTCGATTTGTGTTTCTCGATTTTCTTCGTTTTTTTTTTTTCGCGGGTTTTTTTGATTTTTTTCTCGATGTTTTTCGTTTTTTTTTTCGTTTTTTTCATGTTTTTTTTATTTATTTTTTTTTTCGCGTTGTTTTTTTCGTTTTTTTTTCCGAATTTTTTTTCTCCATGTTTTTTTTTTGTTCGTTGATTTTTTTTCTTTTTCGTTGTTTTTTCTTTGCTTTCATTTCGTTTGTTATGTTGTTTTTTTTTCGTGTTTTTTCCTTTTGTTTTCCTTTTTTTCCTTTTTTTTCTCCGTTTTTTCCTTTTTTTTCATCTATTTTTTTCGTATGTTTTTTTTCGTTGTTTTTTTCTTTTCCCGTTTTTGTTTCCTGTTTTTTCTTTTTTGTTCGTTCCTTTTTTTCTCTTTCTTTTCATTTTTTGTTCCATTTATTTGTTTCCGTTGTTTTTTTTTTCGGCTTTTTGTTTTTTACTCCTATTCGTGTTTTTTTTCTTTTTTTGCTATTGTTTTTTCCTTTTTTTCGTTCATTGGTTGTTTCTATGTACCTCGGTTTCCTTTACGTTTCTATATTTTTTCTTCGTTTTGTTACCAAATGCATGGTTCTCATGTTTTTTTTTGCCATGTTTTATTTGTATGTGTTTCTCATTATTTGTTTTTCTATTTTCCTTATTTCCTAGCTGAGGGGCTGGCCTAGAATGTAAGGAAATTTGACTTTTCCCACAACTCAAAAATGCCGCCTGCGGCGGGCCTTTGCTGAAACAAAAAAATGAGCAGCCTGCAAGGCTTCTGGCTGCAAACAATAAGAAAGTAAACGTCGATTTACATCAAAAAACAAAAAACAGTTAAAACAAAACAAGATTTGACAAACAAAAGCGAAACAAACACTGAAGATCATTGAAGCATGTAAATTACTTCTCAATGGCCTTCTTGCCGGCAGCTCACCATGGTCATGGAACAAGTCCAGTAAGCTGTTGGAAAATATTGGAAATATTTGTTTTGGATAATTTCTTTAGGTGCCTGCATTCGGTTCTTTGTGACTCCTGTGGTCTTCTGCGACGACTTTATTTTGGCCGACACTGACACCATCTACTAGTTTTGTCACCCAAAATCTTCACAAATTGAACCATGTGGATGGGTGCAATTACATGATTCAACACAAATTGCCTAAAACCCAGTGGAACTGGATGTCAAGCTAAAACTGTTGCTTTGCAAATATCCTAAAGCTTATTTCAAGTTCATCAGCCATTTGAAGGCAGCTGCATTGGCAAATGATTTAAGCAGTTTTGTTGCCAAAATGTATTGATATATATTCTTTGCTCAGTTTGTCCAGATGTGTATCACAGTGTTGCAAACCTTTCTCAAGCTGTCTCCGATTATATGTTTGCATCTTCACTTTGGGCCACCATGCTGATTTTCGAAGCACATGCTCATGCACGTGGTCCTGGTTTTATTTCAATTCCTTCAAATCAGAGTAGCGTTCATATCTTTCCTCACAAGCCCTTCTGCCATACCCGCATGGCTTATATACAACCCTAATACCTTAGCAGCAAGGAATTTCAAAAGTTAACATATTATATACATATCATATATATATATATATAATGTATATTATATATGTATAAGAATATACATAACAATATATATATATATATGACATGTATGTAAATATCTTCCATCTCCCCGGACTGGCCGGATGCCCATCCCCCCATCCACTGGGGGACTCTTCGAAGCTGTAGTCGGGCAAAGAGAAGAAATGCGTCATGGGCAGAATGAAGGTCGCAGCGTCCTGCGAACCACTGGGATCGACATCGATTTTTGGCAAAGGGCTGCTGGATACCCTCTGGTAAACTAACATAGCTATATATTGAAAATGACCATTAATAGTGGATTTTCCCATTAAACATGGTGATTTTCAATAGCTATGTTAAATTACCAGAGTGTAGTTTCTGGCAAAACATGAACATCAATGACAAATGGATGCAAATGGTCTAAAATTCGGAGTAGCCCAACATGAATGTTCCCAAAAATTAGACTGTTGTGTTGTCTAGTATACACATGTAATGAATATGAAATATCCGCGAATAACTTTCGCAGGCGCTGGAAAACGAACATACCTTTGAAGGATCTATTCATGACTCGGGATCCCACGAGATATTTAATGTGTGGGGGAAAGGACAATACACACAAACAATGCATATATATATAATATACATGTGTATATATATTATATATATAACCATAATAATTAATGGTGTAGCCTAGAGTCCCTGCCTGACTTGATTCCATGAAGCGGTGGCCCGAACCGGCAAAAATCTGGGTTTTTAACTGCTCTTTGCAATCAAATTTTGGCAAAGGAAAATCACCAATTCTACAAATTCGTTCTACAAAAGAGTGAAAGGAACTTGAGGAAAAATATATTGAAAGTTTTCAATTATCCACATTCACTATTCAAACATCTTCAAACATCTTCAAACACCAAAATCATCATGAATCATCTAATTACTGATTCCTATGATTCTGACTTGCCAGCTGAGATTACTGCAGCCCACAGTGGTGTCCACTAAATGTCCTGGACATTAGGATGATTCCTAATGTGGGGGTTTCCATAAATGGAGGTACTCCAATAGCTGGATGGTTTATAAGGGAAATTTCTATAAAACGGATGATTTGGGGGTGCCCCAGTTTATGGAAACCCTCATATATTTATGATGCTACTTACCTGTTGTTACTGTAGATACTTCGTACATCTTCGTACACGGGTGAGCCCACCGCCAAGCTAATTCCTAAACGCAAACAGACCCAAACTTCATTTGATTTATCTTCAGATGCTTCCATTGTTACAAAAACTTTCAATATCTTTCAACATCACCTTTTCCTCCTTACAAGCAGCCACTTTCCGTCACGGTCCTTCAGCAAGGAGGTGTTGTGACTCATGTTGTGTGGCGTCACAATCATCCGCTTACAGCCAATGGAGGCATAGATCCTTCGCCCATGCTCCTGGGACCCAGGGAGGCCGGCTGGGAACCATCCATTCTTGAAGAAGTTTGGTTCTTTGCAGTCCTAAATATACTGGATATATAAATAAATACAATCCACGGTACATATAATATGATTTAATATGTCATATATAATATTTAATAAAATATTTTTAAATATAGTTATATATGATATGAGAACTATGTATAATAATAGATAATTAATGTGTCTATATAAGGTGTATCCATACATATCATATGCATAATATGTACTGTATGTATATAATTGTATAATGGTGGATGCAAATTAGTGCGATTGGACCCTACTGCTTGAAAAAAAACACAAGAGTCTCCTGAAATTGTTTGGGTGGAACCCTACTCAGATCTTTTTTTTCAGGAGGGAAAAAATAGGTCAAGGAAAAAGTGCCATTTGAGGAACTCCAATCCTCCATTCTATTTTGAATCCTTAAAATGATCCCTTACCAAAGCCTTAATAAAAAAACAGCACCCACACACAATTTTTCAAGGGGGTACTCCATGAGTGACTCAGATCCTCACATATAAAAAGGTTTGGATGGCACACTATTGTGCAAAGGAAATCTTGGGGTAAAAGAAATCAAAACCTTTAATCCACCTTTCTGTGGATATACTGTAACTGGTCCATTTACTTTAGAAAGTAATTTGATATGAATTGAACTCCTTACTTGTCCTTAGATTTCTTTTAGGGTAAAAAGAGAAAATAAAGTCAAAACAGTTTAACATGAGTTTGAACCCCATACTTATCCTTAGATTTCTTTTAGGGAAAACAGAGAAAATGAAGTCAAAACAGTTTGACATGAGTTTGAACTCCTTACTTGTCCTTAGATTTCTTTTAGGGTAAAAAGAGAAAATAAAGTCAAAACAGTTTAACATGAGTTTGAACCCCATACTGTACTTATCCTTAGATTTCTTTTAGGGAAAACAGAGAAAATGAAGTCAAAACAGTTTGACATGAGTTTGAACTCCTTACTTGTCCTTAGATTTCTTTTAGGGTAAAAAGAGAAAATGAAGTCAAAACAGTATAACATGAGTTTGAACCCCATACTTATCCTTAGATTTCTTTTAGGGAAAACAGAGAAAATGAAGTCAAAACAGTTTGACATGAGTTTGAACTCCTTACTTGTCCTTAGATTTCTTTTAGGGAAAAAGAGAAAATTAAGTCAAACAGTTTAACATGAGTTTGAACCCCATACTGTACTTATCCTTAGATTTCTTTTAGGGAAAAAAGAGAAAATGAAGTCAAACCAGTTTGACATGAGTTTGAACCCCTTACTTATCCTTAGATTTCTTTTAGGGAAAAAAGCGAAAATAGCTGAAAGTATATTGAGATGAATTGAAATCCTTAGGGACAGAAGAAGAAAATAATTGAAAGTGGATTGATATGAGTTGAATTCCTGACTAATCCTTAGAGTTATTTTAGGTTCGAAAGGAAAAGTAACTGAACGTATATAGATGGACATGAATTGAAATCCTTACTTATACTTAGATTCTAAAGGAACATGAATTGAACGTAGATGGAAATCAATTGGAATCGTTACTTATCCTTAGATTTCATTCAGGTTATAAAGGAAAAAACAATTGAAAGTAGATTCAAATGAATTGAAATCCTTGCTAATCCTGAGGTTCTTTTAAGATTTAAAAGGAACATCAATTGAAAGTAGATTGGCATCAATCGAAATCTTTACTTAAGTTGATTATCCTGAATTCCCCAGACCTGGACCCAAGAGATTATCGAATAAACATGAGTATACCTCAATTGTTTCAGGACGGGGCCTACATTAATCAGCATCCAACATTATATATCATATTTATAATATTATATATATATATTATAATATATATATATATGTATCAATACACTGTATCTATATATGTATATATATATATCCTATTATAACATGATATCATATCCCATTTGTAACAACATATTTTGAAGATGTATTCATGGATAGTTTATGACATTTTTAGCTGGTTAGGTCAATACATTATCATCAAAATAGCACAATTATCGTTGTTGATTCCAAGTACTGGAAAAGTTTGTAGCCATCCACTTTGCTGACGCAGAAACCATCACCCGTGGCAAACCCATGGCACCCATCAGAAAACCAAGGAGCCGGAGAGACCAGGGAGTCTTGTAAGCCATGAATGATCAAGGTCGGACTTCTGATCTTCGGCGTCAACTCCTGATGTTCGAGCTCAAGGGTGGCGCTTCGGCGGCGGATTTCACCCGATTCCATGGTTAAAAAAAAGCCAACCCTGGCCATCTTTTTTTCGGACGTAACCTCCAAAACAGAGGCCAAAAATGGAAAATATCATGAAATATGAAGGACATATATCATCGAACTATATCGAACTGACATCCTGGAAAGACTAACCTCGGAATCTTTTTGGGGTTGCTATAGTATGAAGCCCAGGTTGATGACTTCATTAGCAGCCAGGGGGATCTCATATTGAAGTACCTCCATCTTGACCTTTCTGTTGAGCGGACCTATTGCCTCCTTCACTTGATAGAAATCGGTAGACGGTAGGTTGTCAGATCGTGCTGCTTCCACAAAAATCCCAACATCTGATTTCATGTTTGATGATTTTCCCCCTGATATGGCTGTATCTTTTTTTGACATTCTACAGGTTTCTATCAACAAACCAGGACCTATGTATTGATCATTCGACCATCTCAGAGCCAGACTTGTGAAGATCTTGGTCTCTTAATGTTTGTTATACTTGGATTCGCTTAAGGAACCCCAAATAAGATTCCCTACAGATTCAGTAGTTTTCAGACTATGGATGTCCCATTCGGAAAATAAATATAATCTTCAGATATCTTCAGCAACGCCAGGTATGGCCATTCTTCTGTTGTGATTTGCGAACATTTTTCATGACCGATCCTGGATTCCCTTCATTTCAGGTTGGTATCATGGCTATGTTGGTTTACCCTCCAGTAAACCATCAGAGCTATGGAAATTCATGTTTTTCTCCTATAGGAAATGATCTATTCTTTGCTTGGAGGGTAAGTACAAAACTACCCAAATTCCAACCAAAAAACATCACCTTTAGGATGAATCGCCAACATCCCTCCATCGGGATCTTTGCAGAAACGTGGAGCATGAAGGCCCTCTCTAATCCAAAAAACAACACATGAATATGATATTGGAATGGAACATCCATGAGTACCCTCTATATTTGCCAATTACCACTTGAAAAACAATGAACCGACCTCCTATGGCCAGGAAAAAAACCACCATGAATTTCACTGAGATACCAAATTCGGAAAGCGATTCTCCAAAAAATCTGCCATTTGTCCGATCTGCCCGCGAAAGAGCCTGGGAACCCCCGCGCCGGTGGGTGAAGATACAATGGGCCCCGTTTGCGATAGCTAAGTTGGTGAACATAACTTCAAAAGCTATGGTTTATGATACGTATAACATATCTTGTAAGTATAGTTTTAAGTTTCATAAGCATACTTATTGGATGGTTTAGCTTTATAACTATAGTTTTCATGGGGGCTAGGTTAATTACCAACAAACATCACTGGGGGGGCACTTTGTACATGCTGCATCCCAGCGTTCAGAACACTGCTGTTTTTTTCCGCCACAATCCCAATCATGGTTGATACTGGGGATTTACTATATATTATATATATTATGATTAACACGCGCCAGTTGCCAATATGGTCCCTGGTGCATGGTTACAGTTAGTATTTAAAAACATGTCCGTGGTGAACGGTCATCCATCCCCAGGACATATGAAAATTCCAGGGCCAAGCTGCGACCTGTCGGGTGGTAGCCACTGGTAAACATACAAAAAGCTATTGAAAATGGCCATAGAAATAGTGAGTTTTCCCATGAAAAATGGTGATTTTCCATAGCTATGTTAGTTTACCAGAGGGTAACCACATTCAACAGTTTGATGAATAGAACTAGAACTCGCTAACCATCACTACCCTGAAATGCTTCGTGATTCAAATATTTCATATGTGATTGGGATCAAATAAAACACCAATCATACCCATGGTTGGTTATCCCATAAATTATTAGTATGCTGGCTCCAAAGTCTAGGTATATTTATCTATCTATACATTAAAACATGATATTGTATACATACATACACTATAATCAATATATATATATATACATATATATATATACATATATATACATATATATGTATATATACATATATATATATATACATATACATACATAATCATATATATATATACATTATTTATACCTATTTATATTACGCAATGTCTCCATGTTTGGCATGATACCTCCGTTTTGACCTCACCGATGCGATGACTTCCGTCAACATGGTTTTTTGCCACGCGGCTCGCGGATGCTCGTAAAGGGACTGATCAGGATGACACCGGCAACCTGTCTTCGGTGGATCAAAGGGGTATAAAAACAGGGACCCTAAAAAGTGCCCCAAAAAAAAACAACATTGTTTTAATTATAATTACTTTTAGTGTTCTTATTATTATGAAATCATCATATTATCAAAATATCAAGTCATATATATATATATATCATAGTACATGATTATATGATATGTATGTGCTATAATGTGGTTGAATTACATTTAGTAAATGGTTGAATTAGACCAACCCAACGACCAACTATTGGGCCAACTGAATTCCACTATATGGATGTAACCAGCCTAGGGATCCACAAAATGCTGGCTTTGCCATATCGAAGTGTTAGTGAAAGAATGAGGCTAGCTATCTTGCAAAACAACAAAAACACCGAAAAAAAGGTGGTGTTCCCCAAGTCATGAAAGTTGGCTTATAGCTACCATAGTTTAACTACTTCGATGAATATCTACCACATAAAACACTAGTTATTATGTTACTCATCGACCATTTTTACCGCCTTAGTTTTTGTAAACCTAGAAACTAGTTTGATACGTTCCAAGAAATCACCAAGTTATGTTGTGTTCATGACTAAATGGATATGGATCAGAATTTGCCGCGTCGAAATGAGAGGCTTGATACGCGCGTTGATATGAAGAAACAACAAACCACCAACCTCCGGCGTTCCAGTGGTCTTAACGTTTCACATTGATAAAACTATTGAAACGGTGTGTAATAATATATATAACTGGTTGGTGGTTGACCTACCCCTCTGAACAATATGAAAGTCAGTTGGGGATGAAATTCCCAATATATGGTGTTTAATAATATATAATATGTATATATAAATATATAATATATAAACATTGGAGGGATTAGTTGAAAATCTTTAAGTCATCACATTCAACTCATTGACTTTTCCTCGAATTAAGAACAACCACCCGCGTCCATCATCAAGCACCTCCGCCTTGGCCGCCAGTTGCACCGTGGGACCGGTTCCTGGTGATCTCACATCTGGGCTGTGAAAACCAGATGTTTTGGATGTCATTTGGCCGAAGTCACCTGCAAGAATGGAGGTACTTGGACTATATATTGACTATATATCATAAACTCACCTTCAACTTGGTATCAGGATGGTTCCCTTGTAACAAATTTCCAGGCCTTCCTTTTCGGGATTTTCTATGAACTTAATATGAACTGAAGATAACTGAAGGTAGCTCTGGCGTACGTCTTCCTGCATATATAGAATATTGAAAACTGATCATTGGAGATACCCTCTGGTAAACTAACATGGCTATGGAAAATCACCATTTTTAATGGGAAAACTCACTATAAATGGTCATTTTCAATAGCTTTTTGTATGTTTACCAGCGGGTATTGGAGTGTGCTCTTCCTCGGCATCCTGAGCCCCAAAAACGCAGGATTATTTTCAGCAGGCCTGCGCGGCCCATGCCCTTCATGGTCAACGCTTGACAGAGTTTGGTTGACTCCACCATCTGGTTATGACTAACATAGCCATGGAAAATAACACTTTTTAATAGGTAAACCATCTATTACTATGGGCCATCTATACCATGGCTATGTAACAAATAACCAGATGGTACCTACATCTACACACAGATTGTTGCGAAGTTTCAGGACAAGCATCCCAAAGATCTGCCAAAGAGCTTGATGCCATCCTCAGTTTGACTATCGGCAGACCATGGCCCCAGCACTCGGCCATGGTGCATTTTTTCGAATGGAAATCCAATTGAGATAAGCGAAAAAGACTGGTGAAACGCGGTGAAATATAGCAACTAACCGCTATAATATTTTAATATATGTATTTAGATTTAAAACAAAGAAAAGTTAGACATCGTTAGAGCAGGTTAACCGCTTCAGCCGACTATCATTCCAAACATGCCATATCAGGCTGAGACAACATTTAGGCCAAATCGAAAGTGGCCAGAAATCAGGCACCGTTTTCTCCATGCCAATCCCAGGCGTGAAAAACTCAGTCAACGGGGAAAAAAAAATCTCTGTCTGAATGTCAATCAACGAGTCGATTTCTGGGTCCCCAAAATGGTGATCAGTTACTAATTTGGTGCTGAATCCCCGTAAGGCCCTAATTAATTGATCACTGGATCACTTTTTTCAGCTGGTTGGTGGTTTTAACCGAAACCCCTCTGAAAAATATATGACAACTCGTCAGTTGGGATGATGACATTCCCAATATATGGAAAGTCATAATCCATTCATGTTCCAGTCACCACCAGCTGTACTATTTTTCAGCTACTTATTCCCATTTTTATATAAGAGTATTCATGAGGTCCCAGTTTTATAGCTAAACTTCATCAATTCTGAATAAACTAAGTTTATGAATTGATGAAACCAACCAACCCAACCAACCATGAGCAATGAGCTGTTAGGGATGGCTTTTCAGCATGAGATCCAAGTGATCCAAAGCTTCGTCTGATGGGCAACACATGGTATCCCCAAGTGATCCCTTCATTCTCACGTTTTCCATTCACATGGCCATAAAGAAAAGGGGGCTTGCTAAATCCTAAGATAAGACACCGCCATATCATGCCATATCCATATCTGGCCGCTTAGCATCTTTGGGCCACTTCAGCGTTTCCGTTGCAAAGTGAAATGCCGCATGCGCATTGGCCATGATGCCGGCCTGATTTTGGGGCAGCGTCCTTGGAAAACACCCGTCTCGATGGATCAGAATTGATTTGGTAGAGGGAGAAGTAGATTCTGTGAGACAAAACAACACGTAGATAGATAGATAAATAAATGGATAGATAGATAGATAGATGGATGGATAGATGGATAGATAAGATAAGATTAGAGTAGATAAAATTAGATAAGATTAGATTAGATTAGATGAGATAGATAGACAAACAGATAAATACATAGATAGATAATTAGACAGAATGTAGTTTGCCACAGTCATGAACTGTTTGTTTACAATAAGAGTTGGGAGCGAACCCAGTGTGTATGTGTACATTGACATATAACATGATTTGGCCAGTGCACTATGTCACCCGATAGATCCCTAATGTTCACGATGTTCAATCGATAAGTATGCAATTTATGGGGTACGCCATGCAACCTTCCTGAAAGTTATCACATTGTTTCAAATTGTTTTCAATTTATACTATCCATTCATCCGTCCATCCATCGATCTACCTGACCTAAACCCTCAGAATACCATCCGAATCCAGAAATGGTAAAAGTACGAAAATCATAGCCCATAGGATCCATGGTGCTGCCATATATGGTAGCATTTACCATTCATATACCCAAATGTTAGCATATATACCAGCACCATGGATCCTATGGGATAGGGTAAACCACCAGGGCCCCGGCCTCATCGCAACTTCCAGGACAGATGCCATAGCCAGGGTATTCCACGGCCAAGACCTCGAAAATTTCCAGAAAATGCTCCGTGGAAAAATTGGAAAATCAAGGCCATAGATATCGCCATGGTTTCCTTTCTGTCACAGAAATTGGAGAAATGATGGCTGGTTGGTGGTTTTAACCGAAACCCCTCTGAAAAATGATGGACAACTCGTCACCAACCAGATGGACTCTGGATTTCTGGAGTCTTCCTGGAAATGTTCAGCACATGTTGAGATTGGCTAATGGCTAAGTGGATAGCCAGCATTTTCTGTGCTTGGTTCATCAGAGTATATCTCCTGCGATTCACATTTTTTTTCTCTAGAGAACTGATAAACTGCTTGGGACTCACCCAGTGAATTTCAATTGATTACTAGTTGGTGGTGAAATAACAATCTTGAAACATACGAGTTCGTCAATGGGAAGGATTATCCCATATATTACGGAACATATTTTGTTTGAAACCACCAACCAGATTTCAATTGATTAAGTATTTCATTTGATAATATCAAATCATAAAACTTCATGAACATGAAGTATCATTTCAATCGATGTTTGACTTTTTATGATATGTTCATAAAATCCAATCACTATGAGATACCATGCTCGATGCGATGTTCAAATTGATCTAGGAACAGTATAGTACAACCCCTTGGGAGCGAAGAACTTTCCAAATCAACACTGGGTGCCCAAAGAGTAGTAAAGGGCGAAACGGCTAGATGCAAATGAACTACCAACGTCTTGCCCGAATTCGATGATTAGTATAGTCAGTATAGTTTTGAACAACAATTATATACCCCGGCCAGCAATTTACCGTGCCTGGTTGGAGATAAATCGTGTTTTCATGTGTTTTCCATATGCTGAGGTTGAACAGGAAAAAAACCACCCAGTCACAACTGAATTTTGGTGCGGGACACCACCTTGTGCAGCACAAGAGCTTCTGGCACATAAGAATATGGGGCCCCGCGTCAAATTTTAAGTCCCATTTGAACCAAAGGTTTTGGGTTGAATTACAAATTACTGATGTTTTTTTGTTTTTTGAACGTTTAAGTGATATTCATTATTCACAAGTGTTTACATGTACCCTGCAATTAAACTAACATAGATGTGAAAAGCCATGGGGTTTCAGGGCCTTGATCAGCCCCATTTTGTGGCTTTTTCCCATGCCTTCCCATCTCCACCTGTTCCGGTCCCAGTGGCATGAACTTGAAAGAGATCTCCTTGGGAAATCATCCAAAATTCTCCATGGTTAAACAAACAGGTCAACAAATCTCAGATTTTTTTGGTGCACATCCCCTGCTAAACCATGATGTCTGGGGGTGAATATTATGTAAAGGGATTTTTTCAAGGGAGGGGATGGCACGGGATGGCCATAACAATGCGGTGGGATTTCACAGACAAAAAAAGTGGGGCTTTTTGACCATCAAACGTTGGGATCTGACTTATTTGGGGCGAATGGTGTGAATATCATCAACCACGAATTTCTTGGGTACCCGGCCTGGTAAACAAACAAACAGTTTGCGAACTTGAAAATGGTGATTTAGTTCGGGAATTTACGCTATAAAATGGTGATGTTCCATAGTTTTTTGTATGTTTACCAGAGGGTATCCTATTTTCAGATATCCCGCAGAGATGAGTTGTGTAATGATTTATCATACCTAGAGGATGTGCAAGACAGTCATGGAGCTTCTCCATCCACGATCCACGGGTCAGCCAGGAGTTGATGAGGACATCAAATAATGTCAACCCCGGAACAATAAACCGTGGTTTATATTGGCTTATTAATTAGGGTGGCTAATCCTCCAATAGATCCAATAGTCACAATCTGATACTTAAATGGTACCCTCCCTTTTTTCAACAGCCGCTTGGGGTTTATTAATCCAGGGTTGACATTACTCAATCCGTTGGCATGTTGTTAAATCACCCTGTCAACTTGTCAACTCCCGTCAAGCTATGTGCCTAACACCCCTCTGTCAGTTCCCAAGCGTCTGAGCATCTTGCAGAAGCCGTAGCTCAAGCCCAAATCCTCCGCGTTGGCGTGAAAGTAGATGAACAGGAAACGAGCCTCGGCTGGTTAGAATTGCCAACACAATTTTTAGAGTTTTTAGGACCTGGAAATGTGAGTTGTTTGTCATGTTTTAAGTTGTTGGGGTATGTTGGGGTGGTGTGACCATGCATAAAAATGTGGCAAATTCTTGGCAGACACCATCCAATCTGGATCTCAACATTTCATGTTTGCAGTCTCAAGCTATGGGGGTTTCCTCAAAGGGTCACCCCCAAGTCTTCACGGTTTTTTAGGGGCTTTCCATTGTACCCTCTGGTGAACTAACATAGCAATGGAAAATCACCATTTTTAATGGGAAAATCCACTATAAATGGCCATTTTCAATTGCTATGTTAGTTCACCAGAGGGTAAACCATCCAGCTATTGTGATACCCCCCATGACTGCCTGTACAAGAAGAATGTAGACTCAACCTGGGGGAGGAAGGTCGTGAGGCGAGGTAAAGCCCATAATTCAACATCCCAAAATGAGTATTGGGTATGCTCTAATATTATCCAACATAATACTAAACCAACATAATATTATCAAGCAAAAGTGTCATAATTCAACATAACATTATCCAAGTGATGATGTAAAATGAAGCTTTTTGATTCCAGGACGCTTAATGCTCCAAAAATACCTTGCCAAGAGACATGTTGAAATGGAAGGAACAAGCACGGTACTTTTGCACCATCCTGAAACGTGTCAGAGCCAGCCTTTCTGGGAAATCCTATATACCCTCTGGTTATTTAACATAGCCATGGAAAATGGTCCATTTATAGTGGATTTTCCCATTAAAACCTCCATTTATGAGGGATTTTCCATGGCTATGTTAGTCATAACCAGATGGTAAATAGAGGGTTTACTGGGAAAATCACCTACAAATGATGGAATCTCCATTGCTATGTTTGATGACTGGAGGTGACTGGAGGGTAAACCCCAAGATGAGATTTGCTCTGTCTGTGAGTTTTTTGTTTTTGCCGCCTAAAACACAGAAGAAAACATAGCTTAATCCCAAGAAGCTCCGAACTACATATCCTGAACAGAGGCATTTCAGCAGACCAAAAAACAAGTACACGCACAGGACATACAAGTGCTACCTACTTCAACTGGGGGACAGAAAATGTCAACAAACGACATCGGAAAGTCCGAGGTAGACCAAACAGCCCATCCCAATCATCCAAATATCCCCTATCTTTTTTCTCAGGTTCATCATGATTCATCCCCTTTCTCTTGGGACTTCTTTCATCACACCATTCCCCAAAAGCCATAAAAATTTCCATTGGTTCGATCCATGTGTATATATATATATACATATACATATCATATGTGAATATCGACATATGTATACATCAACATATAGCATGTATATATATATATATATGTATATGTGTATATATATATAATGCTTCAGAAAATTAGTTTCATGTTTGTATCAACTCTCTTCATGGCGGTCGTTGACGCTGCACTTCGTGGCCAGCTTTGGTTTGTCCAGTTTCTCCATACGCAAGTATAAGCAGGTATATTCTGGTATATTGTCGGATGAAAAAACAGGAAGTGTTCACAACAATATACTTATTATACTTCCATTACTATTCTTGTATTCCAATCATAATATATTAAACAAGATTAGTTAAGTATATCATGTTGCAAATCTTCCCAACTTAAGTATCATCAGTAAAGAAACATCACGAAAAATCCCCAAGGAATTTCTGGCTTCACTTCTCCCATCCCACCAGCACCAGCCGGTGCCTGGCGTGGGATGAGGATCAGCTCCCTGGGGAAGCTGTGGATCGTGTAGGACACCTTGGGCGCCGGAAAGATAAGCCGCTCCACCACGTTCCAACTGCTCCTTCGACACGCCACGGCGCGTTGCGGAAAGATGGCGGTGACTTGGAGAAAAAAGAGAACATGGGGTCAAAGGGATATTCCCTTACATAGGCCTTATATAGGCCTTATATATGGTAGGTCCCTCCAATTTAGGATCCTGGAATTCCCATTGATGGGGTAGAGAAAAGTGATGGATACTGATGGATACTGATGGTTGATGATGGTTGATAAATGTTGATCTGGTTGGTGGTTTTAACCCTACCCCTCTGAAAAATGATGGACAACTCGTCAGTTGGGATGATGAAATTCCCAATATATGGAAAAATAAAATTCATGTTCCAAACCACCAACCAGTGATGGTTGACTGGTTGATGTTTTGTTTTTGCGGAAAAACAAGCATTATCTCTAGTTTCGCCCCATCTGGCTGGGAAAATCTGACACTCTTGTAAGGGTAAACGTGTACAATGTGAATCAATGTAAGGCCCCCAATAGCGTTGGTGAAGATAACTCCAATTTCACTATGGTGTTTGACACTTGTAACATCTAGATTAGCTAGAGTATTCATGATGTTTACGAAACAACAATCACGAATCACCTTTTTTTTGGGCCCCACACGCGACATGGAACCAGGGGGCAACGCCAACAGTGGATGGATGTCTCCATGGTGATCTGTGCAGATTCACCCTGTCCTTACTCATCAGGATTCATTTATGTATATAATATTATGTAACATCTATATATATATGCAATATGTCATTTAATGGATTTTAATATCAATCATATTTTTACATTTACATATTATATATATATACAGATATTGTTGTCGCATGAGTCGCATGTGTTCATTCGCTTTATTATTGTTGCAGTGCCAAGCAGGCTTGAAAGGACCTCCCCAAATCCAAGCGTGCAACGCAGCCGAGCTTCGATTGTGAATTCAGCAACACCCACATTCAACTTGTCACCCCTTCAGCGACGAAATGACGCTGAAGCAAGTGCCATTTGGCAGTCCAGTGGCCATTGCATGGGGCAAAGCGGGACAGTGTCTGGGATGTCTGGGCGTGGGCCCAACGGCACAGGTCTGTCCTACTTTCAAGCAGGGGTCCTGCATTGACAAAGCTCAGTTGGGTGGGCAGTTTCTGACTCTCCCCCAGGTTTTCGTGCGGGACATCTGCCCAAAAATTGCTTATTATTTGACAGCGAAATCCCAAGCCGTGAGAGCCATGTTTTAACATGTTTAGCTGAGTCTAAACTCCTCAACTCCTCAACTGTCCCTTTCCATTTTTCAAGTCTCTGTCAGGGACCTGTGGTTGACGTTTGTTGTGCCGTGTCGAAGAAGTGTGACCTACAACGTATGCTATATGCATCTTTGTGCTTTGACAGGCTTGGAGCCCGATTCAGCTGCCATGTTGAAAAGAAAATCGGGCAAACCAGTCAAACATTCCTGGGACATTCCCTGGATCCATGGCCACTGTCTGAGAAGGTACGGCTAACCCAACAAATTTCTGGGTAAATTATAATACTTCACTAACCTGAATTAAGGCCATTTGGGGATGATTTCCCTTACTAACTATGATTTCCAGTGAGGTCGCAGTGAGGTCGTTATAATTTACCCAGAAATTTTCGCAAATTCTACCCACGTCCCACATCCTTTCAGAAGCTACGGCTGGATCCATAGGGATTCATTTTCGACACCAACTGCCCCACCCGTTTCACCCAGTTTTTCCCTGGCGAAACCCACCGTTTTTTCCCATGGAAAAACAACGAAGTCCCAGCGCCTCAAGGTCCTGGCTGGGAAAGATCACCACCTGAGTAGCTAGTAGCGTGGATATTATGACATGGATCATAGTAGTGTTGTGATAATTGATATATATATATATATCCATATATAAATAGTAAATATTGGAATAATATATATATATATATAGAATTGGAATGTGTATATAAAAATATAGCTATGAAAATATTTGTAGTACTATTGTTGTTACTATAATTAGTGGTAGTATGATCAGTATTTCTGCTATATATGTAGAAATCATACTTAGGATGTTTAGAACCATAATATTCCATTCATTGTTATTGTTTCTAGAATATTGTAGAATTAGCTAGACCCATAATAGGAATATATATATATACACATAATAGGGGTACATGTTATTGATGTAAGCGGAACACACCATACGGTGGTGGGTACCAACTTAGTACAGCTTAAGCATTTTATGGGGATATTCATGGGAATACAAACGGGATGTAATATGATATAATCAACCAAGTGGATATGATTTTGAGTGTCTGAAAATTGGAAAAATAGCACCCCAAATGATTTAAATGTCAATGTGTCTTAGGAAACATGCTGATTCACCGGTGGATTTGGGGGTATCGTATTCCAAGCAACCCCCCCTTGGAATACCAACAATTCGGATCATGGGAGGTAAACAATAGCCATAAAGGGAAGATCGTAGGGGGTTGAATGAAGATATCGTTATATAATGTTATATAATACACATATCACTACCTGATGGTGGGTAAACTGACTAGTTTGAAAGTTCCTGGATAAAGACTTACAAATTAAAACTGGACAACAACATGTATGATTTTTCATGGAAGTAGACAAACCGCGGATTCTTACCACTGGATTGACAGGTTTTGTGACTCATTTACCGCTGGATTACAGTAATTGTTGTTGATCACTGCTATGGTGGCTAAATGAGTCGATGAACTTTCAGTGCCAAGGTGATCCAATCAATCATCACTAAAGTTAATGATCATCACTCATCAATGATTAATGAGTCAATCTTAATTTATTAATCATCATCTTGTGGAATTTAGAATGCATGTTGAAAAATGGGCCACCTTGGACACCTAGCACCTCCATAACTTTCTGGACATTCCGCAGGTGTTTTGAGAAAGCCCAGATTTCAGGACATCAAAAACCCAGATTTTGGCTGTTTCCCACATTTGCCCCAGGTGGTGATTGGTTAAAACCCAATAAAACCCTATAAAGGTCTCGCTGCGAGGCTCCGATAAACCATCCCTGACATGACAAAAAACCCGTGCCGTTAATGTTTCATCACTACTGTATATCTATCTTATCATTTTTCTGAAAACATAGCATTATAATAACATTCCCATAGTCATCCTGATTCCGAACAAAAAAACCTGTTCAATCCCATGACATTTTCTTGACAAAAAAACGGATCCGAATCAGTTTCCCAGGATTTCATGTTTACTTTGTGATTCCCCAAGCATGGAGCTGTCCAAAATGTGGGTACCCGTGACATCCGTTTGGATATCCATGTCATCCAGCCATCCAGCGATGGGGATTCCCCGAAACACACGCGTGCCGCACGCACCTCGTCCACCATGGCCACAAAGTTCTTGCTGTCTGCGGGGCATTTCAAGCTGATGCCCAGCGCCTCCCCGTAGTCTGAGAAGTTGCTGTGTGATTTTTTACGACAAGACATGGGGATTTGGCGTCATTGAAAATACCTTGGTTGATTGGTTACTAGAGGGACTTATACTACCTAATTTACTAGGGATGTTAAGGTGAAATGAACTTTGTTGACTTGATTCAAGTTGCGTGAATGTATTTTAATTTGATCTAATTTGAATTATGTAATTAGATTTAACCAACATAATTTTTGATTTGACCTCTTGCCTGATAACCGTGCTGCGGAAACAATCAGAGAGTGGGTTGTTGCTTCATGTTCCTTCAATTATGATTTGATTCGGAATGGGAATCCAGCGAAGAAGCGTAGTGAATCGGAATCCGTGGAGTACTCTTTGGTGATTCAATCTGGGAACTCCTGTTGAATCGTGCCAGAAATCCAAGTGGACTCAAGAAATCAGGATTTTTCTGAGTATCAATGGTTTCATTAACCAATGGATTATATGTATCAATCTTAGTATTCAATGTATAAATGGTGACTGGGGAGGATTTTCCAATGGATTGCTTTAAGCAAAAATTTACAGAACCTCCATATTTCATGAGAAAATCCATGGTTTCAACCAATCCATTGAGAGCCTTTTTGGGTGAAATGGAAGTATTCCCCAATTTCTCCCGGCACCTGCAACTCCTTGAAGGAATGCCTCAGAGGCACTACATATATATATATATAATTATATATATATATACGCATCCCATCAATTTACTAAGCTCTTTGACACTTGCACATGTGAATATATATATATATAGTTGCATATATATATAAACACACATGTGTGTGTGTAGGTAGGTACAAATGGCATACATGCATGTGCCGTATACATAAAGATGCTCAACAAAATAAATACAGCATTGGTGTATATATATATATCATGTCACGCAAGTGTATGCATCCTATCAATTTCAAACATACTGCATTTTCAACCACCTCAAATATTAAGAGACATCATCCGTAAAAGAATTGAACAACACATTATCGTGCTCAAGGCGGTTTCCAGTAAAACCACATGACATTTGAGGCTTCTCACACCACCAAAAAAACATGTGCAATGACATCCAGATTCAGTAAAACGTATGCATGCGCGTTAGGACCATTAGGGAGCTATCTAACGATAGATTGATAATTAAACTTATGTGTTCTTATGTCTGATGAAAACAACACAGCAACTGTACACTCGACAGTTAATTCAACAACAAAAATAACACAAATGTGATTTCAACAGATTAAACTCAGCAACTCTTTCCAGCACCCACAAGTTTGGTACAGCGGTTCCTCCCGGCGAGGAACACTTTGTTGTGCAAGTGCTTCTCCATATCTTGATTTTCCGGAGCCGAACCTGAGATCTTGGTGCCATTGGTGCATGTTTCAAACCCAGGAGAGCATAAAAATCTTGTATTTCATTAAAAAAAAAAACATATCTATATATAATTATAATGTAAATACTCATAGTACATTATAACGTATATGTAATTCTGTAACTATGTGCATATGATTGTATATGATTATAGATGATTACATATATTATATACATATATATGTCCAATACAAAACGGTTGAATGCAGCAGCACACCTTCGAAGATCAGCAAGGTGAAACCTCGCGACTTCTTCAGCACTTGGTGCAAATGTTGACCCCCCGGCAGAGAGACATCCTGAGGCAAGGCTTGGCCAGGCAAGGCTGGGTAGCACTTCACCAGCTTTTCAGATTCCCCCGCAAAAAACAAACACAAAATCTCGGATGTTTTACTTTACCATTGATTTAGTATATACATATATATATATACATATACATATATATATATATTGTTGTTTCAATATGTTTCAATAACACAGCAAACATAATTACCGACATAGTTTAACATCTAAAAACTTGTCAATCTACTTGAAGTTGGCTCCTTTTTAGGTCTACTAGCTTGACCGGCTTGACCCACACTGGCCCATGTCCTTCGATGATTCACTGATTAATTTTAAACAGAACCTTATTTTCTGTAGCTATGGAGATCCTAAAAAGGAGGTACGTTAGTACCAGATTTTGGGCCACATTTTGTGGGCATATTCCCTTACATAGGCCTTATATAGGCCTGGTGGGTACCTCCATTTAGGTTGCTATATATGGAAACACTACCAGAGAGTAGTCTGGATCTTTAAACCTACGATATACCCAACTACGATTTAAGGTCGGCCAATTTTGGAATGATTTTCTGTGCAAACCATGATAAAAACGGGCTTTGGACCTAGTGAGGTCGCTGCTTTGTCACTTGGCCTGCTGGACCAATTCCCTAGGCCCTAGCTATGCTATAATTCGATGATCTTCCCAGATATAACCGCCATTTATAGGTTATGTTTCATTTTTTCCCATATTTCCCGATGTGTTTTCCAGCATCCCCTACTCCCACACTGCAATTTGGAAACAACATCTGGAAACTCTTCACTGAACTATCCCTTAAATAATCTTGAATCATGTGTACCTATAGAATCCAATATGATGCTTATTTATAAGTGTATGTATAAGTGTATGTATAAGTGTATGTATAAGTGTATGTATAAGTGCATGTATAAGTGTATGTATAAGTGCATGTATAAGTGTATGTATAAGTGTATGTATAAGTGTATGTATAAGTGTATGTATAAGTGTATGTATAAGTGTATGTATAAGTGTATGTATAAGTGTATGTATAAGTGCATGTATAAGTGTATGTATAAGTGTATGTATAAGTGTATGTATAAGTGTATGTATAAGTGTATGTATAAGTGTATGTATAAGTGTATGTATAAGTGTATGTATAAGTGTATGTATCAGTGCATGTATAAGTGTATGTATCAGTGTATGTATAAGTGTATGTATAAGTGTATGTATAAGTGTATGTATAAGTGTATGTATAAGTGTATGTATAAGTGTATGTATAAGTGTATGTATGTATGCATGTATGTATGTATGCATGTATGCATGTATGCATGTATGCATGTATGCATGTATGCATGTATGCATGCATGGATGCATGTATGCATGTATGCATGCATGTATGCATGTATGCATGTATGCATGTATGCATGTATGCATGTATGCATGTATATAAGCAGTGTATATGTATACAATAAATATATATATATATATACATATGCGGATTCCTAAAATATGGCTACCCCCAGATCATCCAAAGTTAGACCATTTTAGTATTGAAACCGCTCTGGGGATCCCCCCATTTTTTCGATGGCGCAGCCAAGTATCAGGTACGCGATCTCCCGCGTGGATCCTGGGGAATTCACTAAACAATCAATACTGTAATATCAAGATAGACAATATAGATAATATATAATATCATATAGATAATATTAATATTAATATAGATAGTCTAAAGATTAAAACATATATACACAATGACATACATCTTCATATATCTTTATACCCTCTGGTAAACTACCATAACTATGGAAAATCACCATTTTATAGCTGGGAAAATCCACTAATAAATGTGCCATTTTCAATAGCAAACTGTTAGTCATTACCAGAGGGTAAATCCCATTACATCCCATTAAATCACCATTAAATTACCATAAATCGCCATTAATATCCATTAAATCACCATTAAATCACCATAAAATCTTCATATATCTTTATAATTCTAAAACAAATCTCCATTGCACATCACCACATCCACCCCTCACGCTGTGTCACTGGCAGTGTCACCCTGGCCGGGATGTCTCACCTGGTGGCCAGCCATCGATGTAAGTTCTGACGACGTCGGTAGCCCCCGGCCGGGCAAATGCTGGTGATGGGGAAGCACCTGATTTCAGCGATTCGAATCGCTACCAGCTAAAATTGGGACATCAACCATGGGAATTTATGGGAAAACCAATCATCTTATGGGAATATCATGGGAATTTAGATGTGAAACCACATTTTATGGGAAAATCATGAGGACATGATGGAAAAAACTGAGTTTATCTATCCACATTAATGGGATATAATGGGAAGCTTAACCTACGCAATATGGGAACATATTGAAACATATTGCTAACATGATGGGAACAGAGTTCTATTTTACAGGTGATGAACCAAAACAAATGCCAGGATATACTGCGAAATCATACCGACAAAAACATATACAGTGCTGTATCTAAATATATTTTAGGGTCTGTCTGGAGAATTGGGAGGCTCGCCGTCCCAGAATTTTCGCAATCGAAGTGAGAAAATAACATATTCACACCACCAAATTTTCAGATACCCTATATCCAAAGAATCACATATGGTCACTAGTCAATTGGGACTATGATCACAAGGATTGACACCATAAAACCACTAGGAAATGATCTATCAATGGGCTCAAAATGGTGACAAGTCATGGGTGATATGATTAACCAGTGGATGTGGTTTATTCCGCAGCCTCCGAAATGGATGATTTAATGCTGAAAAAAGAGGTAGGGCATGCTGCAAACCAATATTGAAGCACGCACATATGTATATTTTATATGCATATGCATATATATATATTATATTGTATGTATATGTAGATATGCATGTGTATGCTAGCGGGTAGAAAACAGCCGCTAGCGTGTCGACCGCTACGTCATGGGGTGCTGAAAGATTTCCCAAAGGGCCATCTCAAGGTCTTGGAGCAAAGATATGGCGCTGTCAATCCTTGCTTCAAGGGATTAGAATTTGGCAATGGAGATGGTATGGAAATTCCAAAGATTACTCAACTGGTTGGTGGTTGAGCCACCCCTCTGAAAAATATGAGTTCGTCAGTTGGGATGATTATTCCCAATATATGGACAAAATAAAAAATGTTCCAAACCACCAACCAGAGATGGTATGGAAATTCCAAAGATGACTTAAGTCTCACAAGACATGCCCTACGCAAACGCTTTGATGGCTGAAGCAAATCTTGCCAAAGTGGTTCGAGTGACCGCCATTTCAAGAGCATAAAACCCTTAAATACCATACATCAAGTAAAATATCACTCCACTTTGCCCGGCAAGATCTATAAACATTTCCATTACCATCTGGTTATTTAACAGTTTGCCATGGAAACTCACCATTTCTCATAGGTAAACCATCTATTTCTATGGGCCATCTATACCATGGCGAACTGTTAGTCATAACCAGAGGGTATTTTTTTTACACAACGCCAAGCACGCCAAGCACTTTTTGTTCGAAACGTGCGAAAAACCACGAACGTGCGGCCCACGCACAAAGGGATGTTTATGATTGTGTATGTACATGTCTCATCTGCATGTACACTCTGGTTATGACTAACAGTTCGCCATGGAAAATCCCGTAAATACATGGAGGTTTCTTGCTGGGAAAATCATCTATTTCTATGGGCCATCTATACCATGGCTATGTTAAATAACCAGAGTGTATATTTTGTCATCTGCATGTGCATGTCCCATCTGCATTGTACTTACATTCTTTGGGCAAGTCTATCCTTAACATCTCATGACCAAACTTACAGTGGAATTTCCACTTGGTTTCAAACAACATAAACAAAAACAACCTTTTCTTTAGCAAACTACCTTGCATTGAACATAGTTATTATAGTTATCCGTATCTACCCCAGTATCCCAACCGAACCACTTTTTACCTATCCAGGTGGGTTCATGCTTCAAATGCCGAACATCATATCATGATCCATTTCATTAACAATGAGTCATCAAAATTAATGCAATAATTCAACCTCGGGACAGACTGATCTTCACATACCTATTTACAACAATACACTTATATCAAAACATATATCAACTACATAATCATCAAGTCACTAAAGTACATGTTTTATGTTGATATAATCACCAAGTCCCCGTTTTATATAAGTTATATATATATAAATAGTAATACTAATTATATAATAATAATAATACTAATAATATATTGAATAATATATTTAATATATAACATATAATGTATAGTATATATTATATAGTATATAATGTATATTATATATTATATAGTATATAATCATCCAATCACTGTTTTTTTACTTGATATCCTCAGCATCTACATATCTACACATATCGATACATATAATCATTCCATTGTTTTCTGTCCTATTATCCCATTAATATTCCATATTATCCACCATGCAAAAAAAAAACACTGGTTTCTTCATATGAGCCATGTTGTAAATGTCTTACATACTGGCACCAAATAAGGAAATGCTTACGCCATTGCTTACGTCTTGCTTACGCGCGCACAGGTTTTGCTTACGCGCATATCTTGTCTTACGCGGAGCTTACGCTGGCTTACGCGCACCACAGTTTTGCTTACGCCATACCCTTACAAGGGGTCCCTTGCTTAACATGAACACAAGGGTTTAGAACGTGGCTCATATGGAGGTTTCCAATCCATGGGGGTACCCCCTAGTAATCATCCACTTTCAGAGGATTTTCCAATATTTTGGTAACTAGGAACCAGCTATTGGGGTACCATTTCATGGAAATATGATGGTTTATTTCATGTGCTATTGAAATTTTCCATGAAATATTGGATGAAATTTGATGGAGTTTAGTTCTTTCGAAACCCAGGTGATCCATCCATTGGGGTACCCCCAATAGGTAACCGCCAGGATGCGTGGGCACAGGCCGCTCCCAGTGTTCCATGGAGATCGAGGACTTGCGATAGGACCAGGCCTGGAGCCCAAAATCTGCCACCAGGCGTGGACCGATGGTTATATGTAATGTCAACCTCGGATTTTGCTAAACCATGGTTTATGGTGGTTAATGGTGGTTAATGGTGGTTAATAGTGGGTGATGTATTGAAACCACCAACCAGTAAACCATGGTTTATTAATTAGGGGGATACTCCTCCAATAGTCATAATTAATGATACTTTTTTATGGTACCCTCCCAATTAAACAATCGTTTGGGGTTAATTAATCCAAGGTTGACATTACATATGGAGGTTTCCTAAGTCATGGGGGTACCCCCAGTTACCATGTTATTTGAAAGGTTTTTCCGAATAAAATAAAGCATCCAGCTATTGGGGACCCCCATGACTATGGAAACCCCCATATATAAATGAGTATAACTGGTTAATTATAAATGTTTATCAATGATGTTATGATTCCATAAATTTTAGCTGACTTACTGACTTATAACACCTTATAATATCTTATAACTGGCAAAGGGCCACATAACTGTGAAAAAAAGGATGGATCGCTGGGATTTCTGGGGGAAGAACTTCACCCAACATAAGGAAACAAACGATGAATGTAGTTTTTGGCGTGACGTCTGATAGCGAAAATACACCAGAAAACTTGAATTGCTGAAGTTTCTCCACATGTGTCTGGAAAAATCAACAGAAACCATGCAACTGCCAAGCAACCAACTTGGCTATTCACTGGGATATATCCCACAACATGTCATACTTAAGCGGTTGTAGGCTCAGTTAAAACAAAATGAGGGATCATGCCAGTGTTGGGCTTGATCGCTTGAGCCGGCAAAGTTGGTGTTTTCCCTTCCGCCTGCTGCGCCAAGAGTGCTACAGCCGCAGGTTGCAAGAATGTCCTGAAAAACCAGGTCGTGGCCAACAGGTTGGCGAAAAAAAACGTCGAAAAAAACAGCGGAAAGCGAAAAAGGCAAGAATGTGTATAATACATATGTGTATATTATATTATATATATATGGTTGCCACCATACATATATGTACATAAATATATTGACATACATACTCATACATAATATATATATATATATGTAGTTGTCCAGTTATCCTCTATAGTTTCATAGGATTTGAATGAATTTCTGACTTTTGACATCTTTTGACCATGCGATGCCATGCATATTCCAATAAACCTAAGAGAAACTGATTTCAAACCTTGGCTCATTTGAGGCTACAGCATGAAACAAACGATGTGCAAATCTCTGCCTTTCGAAGTGTGTCTCTATTCTCATTCATTCAATCATGTGTTTCTCAAATCAAGTCTGGAGAATCATACCATATAGACGATATACATAAAATAAATATATTTCTAGCAACAACACATGGAAAGATCAAACATCCTGGATGGCTCTGACCTTATTTCTTAAGAAAATGAACATCCAGTAGCAAGGTGGTACCCAAGTCACGAAGAAATGGGTTTGTCCCAACCCCCATGGCGAAACGTTGGTTATATCCGTTTAATATCTATCATGAAACCAACTTAGTTAACATGAAACAAACTGGAAAACCACTACTGGTTGGTGGTTGACGATACCCCTCTGAAAAATATGAGTTCGTCAATTGGGATTACTATTCCCGATATATGGAAAGTCAAAAAATTCCATGGTTCCACACCACCAACCAGACTATGATGCTGGAGAAAATCCCATAATTCACCAACCTAAAACCACAGTTTTCGCCATGAACATAACTCCAATTGGGGATAGCGAATTACCACAGTCCTACGCCGATTGTTGGGGCCCCCCATAACTCCAATTGCACCATGATCAAGTTACGTATAACTATCGTATTCAGGGGGATTATATGTATATATATAAAACCCACCTGGGCCATCAGCTGGGAACTTCAATCCCCTTAAACTCCCATTGAACTGAAATGAAACTCCCATTCAACTCCCCTTGAATTCAGATGGAACCCTTATTAAAAACTTCCGTTGTAGAAACCATGGGCCAGGATTGGCAAGGCGCAACATGTTGGCCAATCGCTGACCCCTGCCGCGCATGAAGAAGATCCTAAGGGCCACGGCAAGAGCTTGATAAGTGGGATATAATGGGGAAAAAAAACAAGCTAGTGGGATATAGTGGGATACTGATACCATCTGGTTATTTAACATAGCCGTGCAAAATCACCATTTTTAATAGGTAAACCATCTATTTCTATGGGCCATTTTCCATGGGATACTGATAGATTCTGATTAAAAAAAAGGAAAGGGTCCATCAAGCCGATCAAGCCAAAAAAAACTCCACCCCGCCCCAAAGGGTTCATCTTTTTGCGCTTTCAATCTGTGATTAGATCAAATCGGTTCGAATTATTGCCCACCAAATATGGCCAATCTAAGATACATTGCAGAAATAATGGTTTCCTAATTAGTATAATATATATATATGTAATACAATGTTATATATATATAATATAATATAATATAATATAATACAATTTAATACAATTTAACAGAAAATAATATAATATAATATAATATAATAACATGAAATGATATAATAAAAATATAATATAATACAATATAATATACTATAAAATAATAAATAAAAAGAAAAAAATAAAATATAATATACTATAATATAATATAATATAATACAATGAAAATGAAATATAATATAATAACATATAATATAATAACATATAATATAATATAATGATAAAATATAGTAAACTATAATGATATAATGATAGAATATAATACAATATAATAAATAATACAATACAATACAATATAATATAATATAATATAATATAATATAGTATAATATAATATAATAAAATATAATATAAGATAATAAAATATAATAATATAATATATATATATACAATAACATTTCTGTATATGGCAAAAACTTGTCCTAAATCCTAAACTGCCTGCTAGTTGGTTTTCCCAGATCCAATGGTTGAAGATCCTCAAAATGAAGCTTTTTGTGGGTCGAAACCATGCCCAGCGGCACAGGGTTGCGGCTGGAGACCACTTCTTGCGCACCTTTTTTTGCGTCGCAAAACAATGGGAGGGTTTGAAGTCATCTCAAGTTGGTGGTCATGTCGGATTGCATCATCCCTAGTTTGGAGAAATTTAGGCAACGAAAATGGTGCATATACTGTAATTTTATCAAACTGGTAAGTAAAAATGGAAGGATCCCTGCGAAGAAAGGGGATGTAGCAGCACTAAATGGTAGATGCCCTGCGACCAGGACGCGCTCGGCCAAATAAGCCAACCTAATAATCCACCTCCCCTTCGGATGAGAAATCTACGTTTCAAATCAACTACCATGAAAATTGGCAAATGATAGCATTGAAAAAAATGGAAGCCCTTTAACTTTCCCACCTTGGTTTTACATGCCCCCCCAAAAAATGGTGGATTTAATGTACAAAAGTTTCCCTACTAAAGTCGCCATACATTGAGGTATCTTCAATGTGGGGGATTTCAGTGATGTCTGTTGGTCTGTAAACCCCAATAGCCAATAGCTACAGCTATAAGATGTTCTAAGTATAATAAAGCATAGTGACATTGGAGTTGTGTTCCCCAACCAATCGCTAATAGCCGCTATCATAAATCAGCTCTAAATCCAACGGAAATCCCCATTGTTTCTTCATTTTCGCCACCACTTCACCTGCGGGCACCAAGATCTTCCCGATTTTCCCACTCCCAAGATCGTAAATCATAAGATATCAAAAGTCCCATGGAACTCCCCCATTTTTCTAGTCCCTATGGATCCATGGCCACTGTGTGAGAAGGTATATACTTATATAACCCTCCAAATTATAGTAAGTTCTACCCCAGTCCCACTTCCTTTCAGAAGCTACGGCTGGATCCATAGGGATATGCTATTTATATTCATATGATATCAAATCTATATTATCTATATTATCTATATTATCTATATTATCTATATTATCTATATTATCTATATTATCTATATTATCTATATTATCTATATTATCTATATTATCTATATTACCTATATTATCTATATTATCTATATTATCTATATTATCTATATTATCTATATTATCTATATTATTATAAAGATATCTATATAACTAGTGGTTTTCTATCCTAAACTGGGGCCCCACTCGTTCAATGCCCGTGAGGAGTTTGGTCTCCATGGTCTGCGGAATGCGCAACGCACACTGGTCTCCATGGGCGGTACCAAACATGGCTATAGCGAAACAAAGTACCCAAACTAAATGGATGGTTTTTATGGGAAAATATATAGATATTTATTATTTATGTGTTTTTAAACTATCTAAATGGGAAAATCATCGAACTATAAACGGTGGATTTCGAAAGCAAGCCATGTATCATTGCCAGAGGGTATACAACCCCAAAAACAGAACAGGAACATCCTGCCAAAATAGTGCTAGAGACTGGATGCAGGTGATTCTCATCATGGCTAAAGAAACTTCTCGCCAGCTGTCCAGCTAAACAGCAGCTGACCATCTCAGAAATGTACACCAAATTAATCAAACATTCCATGTAATTCAGTGGTGAACCATCCTTTTTTCATGATCCTTCAATATAGTTCAATGATAGCCGCAATGGCAATTCACCATAACTATGGACAACCACCATGAAAAATGGGAAATTCAGGATCCTAAAATGGAGGTACGTTACTACCATATAAAGCCACATGTTTGGAGGCCATATCTCCTGAAATTTAGCCCTGAAAAATAAGCTAGGTAACTCCAATAAATCGCTACCCTCTGGTTTTCTGTCAACAGTTTGCTATTTAACATGGCCATATTATCCATATTTATAGTTGATCTACCTATGAAAACATGGTATTTTTTCCATCGTTTTTTCTATGACCAGAAGGTACCTTTTCAGTGGCCCCTGAACGCCATGGACCCCAGCAAACCGACTGCCATCGATTGCCACGCGCCTTGCGTTCACCTGGTCGATTGCTGGATGATCTGTTCAGACGGTGACTTTCCAGTTCGCAAACTGTTGAAACCCGAGGGTAAATCGCGTTTGATTTATAAGCTGGTCATAAGTCATACCTATAGGTATGACATATAATGATAATATAGGTATGACTTATGACCATCTCGCAATATGGGCATATATCATACACCTCTATTGGAGAGGCTTTGTAATTTCGTTTACCACATTTGATTACGATGCAAGCAACCCAATGACAGAGGCTTTGTAACACGCCGGATCTGACTAACAAACCCTTGTGTTGTTTTGGCTTGACACGTCCATGCACTTGCAAATTATGTACTTTCTGAGTTGAACGAGCCAAATGCATTGTGCGAACATACCAGATGATCCATGCATCCTTCAAGCGGGTGAAAAAAATCTATCTGCATGTACCCTCTGGTTATTTAACATGGCTATGGTATAGATGGCCCAAGTATGGATGATTTATTTTGATTTGCCTATCAAATAAATGTGATATTTTCCAGTTCGCTATGCCAATGGGCTCAAAAACCATCTTGATTGCTACTTGGTGGCTAGTTAATCCCCTGTTTCAATACACAAAGAGTTTACTAGGATAACCCAAACAAACAAAAAGCACAACTGTATACAGTGTAATTATATACTACTAGGTACTCCTAACAAACAAAGTGTATACAGTGTATGCCACTATAGGCGCTAGTAGTACAACACGTCAACAAGAACACACTTTTCCTTGCTGGTCCTGAAATAGTAGGTAAATTTCAAGGTTGATTTCAAACTACATTTCAGCACATTTCAGCACACTGTTTCTGGGAAAAGCTTCAGGTATAGAAATCCAACCCATCCAACACAAAACATTCACCATGGAACCCAAGAATCGCAAAAGAAATCCAAGTCCAGACATAATTGTTCAAACCCAACAAATGTTGAGTTCCATGTTGAGTTTAGGCTATACATTTCCCCGCAATCATCCCCCAAAGATAGGTAGAATAATAAACATCTCTACAAATTTGCTGATGATGTACTTTTTTCCATGCTTGTTGCGGATGACCATATACTGTAATCATATATATATATACATATGTATGTATATATATATATATCATATAATATATATATATATATTTATATCATAAAACTTATATATATACATATGTATATACCTATAATGTCACATAGCTATGAAAAAATGGCGCATTTATAGATGATGTCCCTATTACAAAGGGTGATTCTCCATAGCTATCTGAGCCATTTGAGCCCGTTATGGAGGAAACAAACCAAGGCACTTTCATAGGACGTCAACAGCGAACTCGTAGGACCACCGCCTGGGCATCCAAAATATCACGATGTGGGTTGACCATTGGCAAAAAATGCATTTTACATATATTTTTGTTGAGAGGAACATATAGATTTGGAGGGACATTATAATATATTAATATATATATATATGTTAATTATAATGTTTTCCAGGGAAGGATCATGCCATATCATGCAGATTTTTTTGGAAATGCCAACGCTTGAAATGGAACATGTTCTCCAGCATCACCGGATCAGCGAGACACGAGATGAAGCAGAAGGAAGCTGCACGGTGGTGCCCCAGTTCGGAATCGTTAAGCCTTCAATTCCAGGGGATTTCCCATTGCCATGTTTGACTACCGGAGGCTAAGTAGGTTAAGATTTGGGGTAGATATATCATGAATCTCCATAGTTCATGGAATTTATAGACCAACAAACATAGCTGGAGGGTCCCCTGGAATAGTAGAGGAACATTGCGTTGGGCAACACCAAATATCACACCCCACACGTCCGTGAGAATATGCACAGCTCCCAGCTCTCCAACAAAAATCGTGCGCACACAGCCCTCAAGCAGCAAACAATCAGTCAGAACTAAAGGATCCATCGAAGATTTCCGCAGAATTCTTCTTAAGTGGGTATAGCTATAGCTCAGACTTGGGGACTTCAATCATTCTATGTGACCAAACACAAATCCGAACATCGGCCACGAATCTTCATGGCTCCATCCCCATCAGCCACCGAGTTTCCCCACATTGGATCGCCAGGGCCAGCTTCCAGGCCAAATTCTTGGCGTCTTGGAAGCCCATGTTCATGCCTCTCCATGGCTTGAAAAGCTGGCGATGTGACGACTTCACGGACTTCTATTTATGGTAAATAATACATATATTTATATATATAATGTGTAATTTATATATATATATAAATACATGTATATAATTGTATTTAATTGTATATAATAATATATATATATGAATAATTGTATATATATAATTTATATACATGTGTATAATTGTAAATATATATATATAGAATTATCTAAAATCAAAGTGCCTTGAAAAATGATGACAATTGGGCTTGTGGTCGATATATCTAACATTGAAGTGACTTTATATCGTGACGATATGGACTTTTGGCAGATACATCAACCTAGTTAATGGGGTTTATGAACCAACTTGTAACTAAGACTAAACTGGTGTTCACAAACCTCCCATGTTCCAAATGCGGAGTTCTCAGACGTTGCTGGTGGTTTTATCTCTTCTGAAAACAACTGAATCATAGTGTTGGTGAATGTTGATATACCGCAATATTCCTCCCCCAAATCACCAAAAAATAGGTGCTATAAATCATTCCCAAATGGGTGGTTTATGACATTGCTTTGCCCACATTATACCCGATTAATTCAAACGAAAAAAAAAACCTATAATCACCATAAATAGGTGCAATAAATCAAATTTCCCTATCCCCTCCACTCTATGCCTTGTCCTCCCAGGGGCGAATGACAGTGACAGGCATCGCCGGCAAGAAAGACGCGACCCCGACCGTAGCACTCCACCTGCAGTCGACAGACCGAAGCGTCAAGTCGCACAAGCCAGTTAATGGAAGTTAATGGGATTTCATGGAAGTTAATGGGATTTAACGGAGTTTCATGGAAGTTAATGGGATTTAACGGAGTTTCATGGAAGTTAATGGGAATTAAGGGGATTTCATGGAAGTTAATGGGAATTAACGGGATTTCATGGAAGTTAATGGGTATTAAGGGAATTTCATGGAAGTTAATGGGATTTAACGGGATTTCATGGAAGCTAATGGAAGTTAATGGGATTTCATGGAAGTTAATGGGATTTAACCGGATTTCATGGAAGTTAATGGGAGTTAATGGGATTTCATGGAAGTTAATGGTAGTTAAGGGGATTTCATGGAAGTTAATGGGATTTAACGGGATTTCATGGAAGTTAATGGAATTAAGGTGATTTCATCCAAGTTAATGGGAATTCATTGGATTTTATGGAAGTTAATGGTAGTTAAGGGGATTTCATGGAAGTTAATGGGATTTAATGGTGAAATCAAACGTGGCTAGCTGGACAATCCCAAACTAAATGGAGGCCTTCAAGGGAAAAACATCTATAAATGGGGAAGACAAGAACATCCCGACCCTCAGTTGACACATAAAAAATGGTAAACGATGGTAAACCTAATAACACAACGGTTAAATAAAATTTCTATGGATCAATTAAGGGATTTCTAGGCACAAACATGACAAGTTTAGTCAGATGTTTACTGTGTGTGATTTGAGAATTAGCACCTCCTTTTGGCAGCTGGATGATTGCCAGAAAGATAGGTGGCATCCATGGATTGCAAATCATTGCAGATACAGCACATCCACACAACAAGTTTTGAAGGAAAACAAAAGAAATGGAAGGGCCAAATGATAAACACCAGAGAAAAACATCGGGATCATCGAATATCGGACAAAATCATGTATCCCAAAACTGTATGTATTTGATTGCCAAAACTGGATGGTTCGCAATTTACAGTCCTTATACAGGGAAATCTTGACCCCTTGACTCATTCATCATCATTCATCCATGTCTAGCCAAAAAACAGGAAACCCCAACTGAGACATTGACAGGATCATCCTCCCATGTCCATGGTCAAATAACTTAAGAATGTAATGTGGGAAACCATCCGCGATCGGGTATACTATTGGGTGTACGGTATACTTCTATAACATTACCCCCAAAATTGGTTGGTTAATGAGCGTTACTGGGATGGTTTGCTTTACCAACTTTACCTGAGCTGAAATAAGGCCAGAAAACATTCCTTGATCACTTGATGATTCCCTATACTACTACTCATCATTCCAATGACATCGCAGGAAGGTCGTTATAATTTCTCCAAATGTATAAAT